AATTTCACGATGTACCCAAAGGCACAAGCGTCTTCGCTTTCTCGTGAGAATAAAATAAATACAGAACAGAACGAAATAAACAAAAATGGTGACTAATTATTAGCACTATTGACTAAACTCTGGCACGGAATAAAGTAAGTTAAAGGTAGAGGTAGTGCAACCAAAATACCGATTACAAAATGCTGTCATTTGTGACGTCACAGTTATCTGAATGCGACGCAATCCGTGTTGCACAAAAATGCTCTTATGTGACATTTCTCTGAAAATATAGGATTTCGTGGATGCGCAATATCTGAAAACTCGAGGATTTGAAGCAGGGATTCTCTGTATTCAAAAATCCCTGGCATTTTAAGCACTTTTTAACATTTCTCTGACCACTAAAATCCCGGACATGTCAGGGAAAAATCTGGCGTATGGCAATCCTAACTTGCGTGCGTGCTAGAAGTCATATGTATAAATATGTTAATAGCTGCGATGGAGATGTTTGTATGAATAGACTTGGACAACACGATAAATTTTAGATATTTATACTAGGAGAGATAAACGCTTATAAGTCTTATAAGTTTAGACTCTAAACTATATGATGGAACACGGTATCTTCCTTTTGCTAGTGCAAATCGGGTACAAAAATCACAAATTAGTTATTAATTCAAGAAAATCAGCTTGAACAGTACATAATGTGCCATATGACTAAGCTGTCTTATCTGGCTACCGATAAAAAAGTGATAAGAGTATTTCATACTTATTCTGGGAGAGATAAAAACATTTAAATCATTTAGCAAACTTCTGCTTATGGATTGAATAGGCAGTCTAATTCGAGTATTGAAAAATAAATTGTTAGATATATATATAGATTTAGATGGTGGTGGAGACCGATTAACGGCTGCATGAAAATATTCATTTGTAAATAAATAAAATAAGTTAGGTAAATTACAGCAAAATATTTCTGTGAAATTCTTATGCAATGAATAGAATAATACTTATTTATACTTAGTGATACATTATAATCAAATTGTTGTATTGTAGTTCGTACTTCGTAATTTCAATTCTGAAATTCCAATCTTTATACTGCTAACGTTTTTATTATTCTAAAGCAATGCCAATTAAATATGACTTAGTAAAAGTTGTGATATGAATTGGCCAAGCCAAGATGGTCAATACATGGTTTATAAATAAGAAAAGTGTGTTTTTGCAACCAATATATGGCTATTGGTGTTTTCCACGTAAAGAAAGTTTACTACTCAATTTAGGTCTTGCGTTCGTATGGCGAAATTGAAACAAATTTTTCACTCGTGTCGTGAGAAGTTTGTTTTTATTAAATTAGTTTATATCCTCCGATAAGAAGCGCTTAACGCTTTACCTCACAAAAGCTCATTAAGGAAACACTCCTTGTCTTCAAATTGAGCAAACGTCATAATTTTCAGACAAATGCAACCGCGCGTGAACATATGTTGAGTTAGGTAGGGTGTGGTATTGGGGAGCAATGAGGCGATGAGTGGCATTAAAACACACCTATATCCGTTGCCATAGAGAACAATACAAGAATAAAACATACTTTGTGACGAATGAAATTTGACATTGGGAGAATTTAGTATTTGACCATATTCCCGTTTTATATTAAAGTGGACATATTTGAAAAAAAAAATCTTTTGAAGACCAACTATGATTTTAAAATTTATAATTTTACCAAATAATGGATCACCGTTGATAGGAAGACAAAAACTTTATTGCAAAATAACAGAATTTGCCTTAGGATATTCACTATGATTTCAATCTCCCAATAAAACCTCAAGCGACAGAGCTGATAGGGAATGAATTTTAATCTCATAAAAACATTTATTGTGTCATTTGTGTTGTGTTATCAACCAGAAAAAGAATTAATTTTGACCTCATAAAAATATTTATTGTATCATTTGTGCTGTGTTACCTCAACCAGAAAGACAAAATCCATTTTAAGTTTAGTATTATTTTATATCTCCACACATTCATTTGAACGTGTATGTACAGTTTTTGATTTAGATAGGTGAGTGAACCAGACTTAATGAGACCAGTCGATCTCTTGAAGTTTAAGTCTTGCTTATAGATTAAATCGTACAGAAATTTTTATTGAAAAATTCACTCGTTTTGTAAAACATATAATTAATATCGATATTGTCCACATCAAACTCAACGATATGAAAACGTGAAATGAAGATATTCAGATGCGAATATAGTTTCTCTTTCCAATTTATCGCTTTGGTTCGGAACGGGTTTCCAGCCAAAAAGTTATTCAATTAACATCCCATAGCTTGTAAAGTGATAAAGGTCTTTTATACTGAAGATACATAATAGTAAATCTAAAGTAATTTACATCCATCGCTACAAATAATCTCAAAGGCGCTCCTTTGAAATTGTTTTCCGGTCGTTGCCGAATGGATGGGAGTGTAATCGCATAGTAGTTTGGGAAAGCTATGTCGTTGTCCAATAGAATTCTTCATTCTATATCGAGCAACTCTTTTTAGTCTTAAGTAGGTAAAGTGTGTTAATGGAAATTCATCTTCTGATTTAAGCATTATCGCGATTTAAAAAAAGGAAAACCCGTCACCTTCCTTCGTTGATCAGCGTTTTATCAAACTAATGTATAGACTTGTGCCTGGTTTTGGCTGTTAGTACATCATATATTAGGAAGCTTTGATAATTTAACTGCTGCGTTGTCCCACAAACAATATATTTCATGTTTTAACGTTTCTGGAAAACCAAGTACGTTGTTAGTGAGTGTATTTCTGATATAAATGAGAATTTATATAATTTTACGATAGAACTCTTAAAAATATCTACGGTGATCCACTGATCCTCTCCGAGTGCATTTTAAATATGGGTATTTGAACTTGGTGTATATATATGTTGGATCATCTTTTTAATACAGATAATAGCGAATCAATAACATTTTACTTTCAGTTAAACAAAAACAAATTTAAAGAAATTGACTTGTGATTCAAATGGGAATATATATATATTGTTATTTTGCAAAGTATTCTTAGGTTGTTTTATCGGGAAATAATAAATTTTTAGATTTATCTTTAATTTCAAAATCTAATATTTGCAATATAGCTGAAAACATAACCAAAAAAAAAAAAAAAAAAAATTCAAAATAAAAAATGAGCAAGCAAAGACAGGTATCATACATCATTAATCCCATTTATTTCAATTCGACGAGAAAACGAGTTTAAACCTAACTAGATGTTTTACCCCATTGAAAATAAGCTTGGTCATTTATCAATGTTACTCGAATGTGCGCATAACGTGAGTAATATATTATATTTTTGGGTGGTGAGGCATGATAAACCACAATGATGCATTTGCGTATGATACTTATTTTCACAATACCACACCTAAAATGTGACTTTTGTATTTACGCGCACAGGAATTGATAATAAAACTGAACGAGCTGGACGATTTTAACCTGTTGTTGGAACAAATGTCATAAAACAGAAAAGTTTAATTTAACTAAAATTATATGCGCCGACGTTGTTAACGAGAATAGAAAAGTTTATAATAGGAACAAAAATTGACAAAATTTATATCTTTCTGCTAAATACAGTTTGATGTTATTTTGCACGTTTCTCGGGTTTTCATTTTTTTTTTTATTTCGGAAGAAGTTTTGTTCAAAGCAAAACTGTTGTAGGAGAAAACTTCAAAATAATATGTTATGTGTGATTGCGATATATTCGTGCAATCCACACCCGTTTTTGTTCTTAAAATTTAAAATATTATGTGTTGAAATGTGTGGAGAAAATATTTTAATTCCGTGGCATTGTGATGCCTTAAATTACTAACTTGATATTTATTGCCAAATTCATCTTTCTTTGTTTCGCCCACCCATTTCCAGTGAAGGGTGAAATTTTATTGCGATAATTTACCTTTTGATCGTTATCATTGTCGTTTACCCACCCTGTTCAATACGCTGTCTACGTGATTCCGCAATGACGTAGCCGCGAAAAATATGACGTTAAACACGCGACGATAACCACACTGAGCGTTGCGAAATAACTAACAGACAGAACCAATACGTTGGTTGAGAAATGAGTATATTGCTGTACTCACCCTATTTGATACCCGGTGCGTGGGATTCCGAAATGACGTTACACGCTACTTCAACCGTGCTCAGTGTTACGAAATATTGTGGAAACAATATTTTAGTTTAAAACAACGTTAAAAATCAATAACTCAAACTCGGTATTGCTAAGAAGTATAAAACAGTATCGAATTAAATTGAAGAATTCAATCATTTACAATAAAAAATTGATTTTGTTAAAACATAGGCCACTGATTTTTTATTTTATTTCTGTCATAATGTGATTTAAATACCCCTCTCTGGTTATTTTGAATTCCAAACTGTGAAATCCAGTCATTCATAAGACTTTTATGGAAGATAAAAAATAGTGTTAACCTAAAGCTGGGAATGAGTAATGACATATTGTAGGTAATGTATTTCATGGATACCTTCAAAATACGGTTGATCGTTTTGAATTTTTTTTTATTTCTTTAATTAAATAATTAAATTTAAAAAACAACGATATCGCGCTTTATATGAAGTAAATAGTGAATTAGAGAAATTATTTACAATATTATATTTAACAACATTTGAAAACAGAATTGTTTCAAAAATAATCCTGTTGATGATATTACTAAAAATATGATATATATATATATATTTAAGATAAAATCAAAAAAGTTGGGAAAACTTAATACGTGTTCGATATTTAGCAAAATGGTCTTGTTGCTCGGGACATTCATTGGATTCTAGTTCTATGGGGACTAAGCATGTATCCCGATACGCAAACGTGAAAAGGAGAGAATCTTTAACAACTTTTCTCTCGCACCCCAGGTCAGAATTGTTCTGGAAATGGAAAAGCCAACGCCTAATTGACTTCCTATTACATATAATGACTAATTCAATTTTTTTTTCTACAAAGGTGTGGTACGTCAATAAAAACGCTGAATACAGAATATTAGGATCATTCTAAGCTTCAAGCCCCGTGAGTGCTAAAGACGTAAACGCTTATAAACGAAAATATTTTAACGACAGGAAAAGACTTTTCTGAACCTTGGATAACTACTGATAATATATATCATCATGCGTAATATTTGCTTATTCCTGATCTCTATCGTCGCTCTTCAAAGCAGTCAGATCGATGCACAGGCCAATACTGCCTGCCCAACTTGTGTGTATGGTGTCGCTCTTCAAGGTGAGTGGAAATTAAAAAAATTAAATCAGCTTTAATAGTTACCAGTATTATTCAATATGAAGCATATTATGTTTAACATATCTTTCCTCATAAACCATCAACAGTTGATAAATATTCACGCTGCCCAGTCGAGCGGGCTTTATTTGGTCCATGTTTGTTTATAAACGTATAGTTTTATCAACGAATCATACTTGATAATTATAATGTTAGCTACTGGATATTTCTGCGGTAAAATTAAGGAATAATTTGTTTTTAGATGGAAGTGGTTCGGTAATAAAAAGGTTCCGAAACTCAACTGCAGATGCAGCATCTTCTCAGGCCAGTTTTGTTTCAGCTGGACTTGGATTTACAGGTAGATTTTTCATACCAATGATGGACCAATACACTGAGAAAGTGTTTTTGATCGGCATTATTATTATAGTATATATAATATATACTGGAGGCAAAGAAAATTCGTCAATTAAATAACATTTTATTTAGTTTATTTCATTTTATTAATTATCAGGACCTCTGGTTGCATCTTTAGATAATGAGGCAATAACATACGGTTATTCTATAATTTCAAAAAAAAGAAGAATTTGTTTTCTCGTTTACTAATTTTCTATGATGTTTGCAGGAGTTAAATATTTCATGCAATAAATAGAATTACTTTTTTTATCTTAATAAAAATATAAATTTGTTATATTTAGCGTTGACCGGAACTGCAGCGTGTGCCGCTAGCGTCTGTGGAACAGCAGGATCAGAAACTTGTGTCGTTAATGCCGCTGACGCAAATGTATTTGAATGTGGTTGCACAGCCCAGTATGCACCTGATCGATACACCCAGGCGTTCAGTTGTGTCGGTAAGTTTTTAATATTTTTTAAACCAAATGTCCTACTATGTCTTGCTGGCGCGGTAGGGAAGGAGTTTCGTGTCAAATTTAAACCTACCTTTGGAATTACTTAAAAAATTATTCGGATTAGAACAAATATTCTTTCAACTACTGGACACACTTTAAGTCCTTAATTAATCAAAAAACCTTCGATTTTCAAAATTGGCTCACTTCAACTTTGGGTATGGCGGTGTCAGATGATGAACAAATCAGATAATAAATTCGGCGCTCCGGAAGCATGTGTACCAAGATGGCGCACAGCCTGAACCCTAACCTGGTACACATGCCATGTTCAGGTTGTGCGCCATCTTGGTGCACATACTTCGGGAGCACCATAAATTCTACTTTACGCACCCACTTTGCCCATAAATCAACTAAATAATATAAAAAAAATTGATAGACTTTTCCATATACTAGCAAGTAATTTCAAAACGGCTGCTGCTGAACAGTTCTTTGTGAGTTGTCACACTCTATTTACTACGACGACACAATACACTACGGTTTAGGGCAATTTTTGAATTAATTAATTTTCACTCTAAAGTAAATTTACAGTATCAATTGTAAAAGCTATTATTTTTATTATAATTATAAAACTTTTAGATTTGGACGAATGCGCCAACGCAACACTAAACAACTGCAGTTCAACAGGAGGAGTTTGTACAAATCAGGCACCGGGTTTTAGTTGTGCATGTGCTGCACAATACACTGGCGACGGTGTCACCTGCACTGGTAACCTTTCAATATTCCGTCAAATATTTCATCAATTCTAGACTGTATTAGGAACGTTTATTTAATGCATTTCTCCGTATGTTTACGTAGGTTTCTACATTTTCGCAAATTTCATTTCGTGTACGTTTTTTAGGATTGTTTTAGATTAGTGATGTTTGTTTTGATTTTTTTAATCAACATTTTGATTTACTCAGGTTAATGGAATAATAGATAATCATGCTTAATTCGAATACTTGCTATATGGCGTGAGAAAGTTCAGTTACACGGTCAGGTTACCAGTAAAGATATTCAGAACCGATTATTATATTCGAAAGCTTTTTATTATATAGAAAATTAGACAGCTCTTGAGAAAGAAGCGTATAAATGAGGCAATTCAGTGACGACATGTTCCGAATATGATCGCAAGATTTAAATTTAAAATTATTTAACAATGTAGACTTCGATGAATGTGCTGCATCATCTACACACAATTGTTCGGGAAACGCAACTTGCACAAACACCGCTCCAGGATTCACATGCGCTTGTAATGCGCAATATACTGGCGATGGATACACTTGTACAGGTAATTATGATACTACTGATTTGTATAGATTTATAATAAATTCTTTCATTTTTCGGGTTTCAATTAGTTTTGAATTGTAATCAGCATTGTGACGAAAATCTTTTTGACATTAGATAATTAAGATAACTGATCAGACCTGCTTAATTAAATAAAGATAGCAACAGTATTCATGAATGACACGAATTCAATGATACATATTGGTTTAAAATCGGTATAACTTCTAAGACATCATACTAAATCCGCGCCGAATCCTTTTAAGGGACTGACATGTGATTGCTAAATTCATGGACTGCGTTTCAAAAAAATTTTGTTAAAAGATATCTGCTCAAAAAATTTTCATTCAAAAATGTCTGCTCTCAAATTGCAATATTGTTGAATACTAAATAATTTCGTCCTGATTGTTGTTTTTTTAATTTTATCGATTATTTTCAACAACAAACTTCAGTCTAAAAAATTTGTGGCGAATATTGGATTATTTTCATTTCATATCTATAGATATCGATGAATGTACTCTTGGAACTCAAAATTGTAGTTTACATGCGTCATGCTCGAACACTGATCCCGGTTTTACTTGCACCTGTAATGCTCAATACACTGGAGATGGATACAACTGCGCCGGTAAAAAGAAAACTGCTTCGCATGAAGGCTGCCACTCAGAAATCCCTCGCATGGTTTTGGGTTTTGCATAGATCCAATGACAATTTGAAGCACTAATTCATTGCGTTATAATTGACGTCGTGATCAATTTGATCCATGCACTTTTCTAATACACTAATATATTTTTTGCTTTTATTAACCTTTTGTTTTAAAGATGTATGCTAGGCTGTCGACCTAATATAAAACGTGAAATCTTTATGCATGGCTTATGCTTAATCAAGTGCAATAATTTGCTTTGTTATTTATTCTAACCGCAATTTAATATCAGCACTGCATAGTTTATAAATCGCACAATTTTAATTTTACATTTATATTTTAATACAAATAGCATTAGTTTATAAATGACCACGATTAACTTGTCTGCTATATTTACTGTAATAAATATCGTGATAATGAAATACAATTTTATTTTTCAAATGTTCTTGAAGATTTGTAAATATATTATTTTTTGATTAACTCTTGTGAAAACATATGCAAAGAATAGTTGATTGATCAAAAAAATGGAATATGATGCTGCACTATATATTTTAGTTATAATTAGACAGTATTTATTCCAAAACATAAGTCTCGACTCTATATCATATGTTCATTGACGATTCATATCTTGTATATAAGTCCAGCAATCTAAATATAACGGAATTCAATAAAATATGACTTCCTTTTTTACAGGCTCATTTCGTGTTTTTACAACAACTCTGTTTTAACTAGCGATAAAAAGTGATACCTTTGTTTAATTCTTCAGAAGTTTTACACTGACTCATGAATCTATAAAAGTAATTGACGTATCACATAAAGTTTGTAGTACTTTATGTGCGCGTTGCCAAGGTAACTACGCTGATGAAATACGTACAACTAATCTGAAGAATTTTAAGTACATTTTTTTTCTGACCATTTCAAGTCTTGAAAAAGAAAAAAAAAATTTTCCGTGCATTTTTTTGAAGTATACGAATAACACTTTGTTTAATTTAATATTGCAGATATCGATGAATGCACCCTCGGCACTGCCAACTGTTCAACGGATGGGTTTTGCACGAACACAGTACCTGGTTTTACATGCACTTGCAACGCACTATTTACTGGAGATGGTGTCAACTGTACTGGTGAGATTCATATGTATAAGAGTATAAATATATATACAAAAAAGTAGCAACTTTTCAAGCCGATTTTACGCGTATTTTGAAATAGCAAAAAAATAAAATCTAAATAATTCATAATAATAATTTCAAATGAGCATAAATTGTGTTCTTAATTTTATAATTGTAATGAATAGTTGCGTTCAAGTTTCTATAGTTATATATATAATAAGGCTTTAACATCACACGATGTCCATGTATCATCGTCAAATAAAAATGTAGATTTGTTGAATAACTTGAGTTTGTTGTAGGTTAAGTGGTTAGTCAGAAAATCCTCTTTCGAATTATCGACTTTCAAAATATACACAAAACCTATTTTATCTATTATTTAATAATACAATTATGAGTCCAATTAGTTGTATTTTTTTAGTACGTATTGAATCATCCAATCAAGTATACATCGGTGCTGTTTAGTCCAACTTATCTTTATTTAGTCTTCTTTTTTTCTGACATTGATATTGATTTGAATTGATTTAAACTGCATTTAGACTTGGATGAATGCTTGTCTTCATCGACAAACAACTGCAGCACAAACGCAGACTGCACAAATCTGGTACCTGGTTTTAGCTGTGCTTGCAAAGCTGGATATACTGGAGACGGAATTAATTGTACAGGTAGATGAGGCTGATTATTTTATTTGTCGTAAGAAACTAAAAATAAATTGTAGTTATTTTCTAAATATTCTAAAAATTTTATCGTTTCGCACGCATCATGTGCCTCATTTCTGTCAAAAATGAAAACAAATTTATTAATTTCTTTTTTTCAGACCATGGGGCCCATATAAAAACACAAATACACTTGAAAAAAAAAATACAAAAATTAAATGTAGAATAAAAAATTCCAAATTAGTCGTAAACGGAAAATGATAATTCTTATATAAACGTGTAGTTTCAAAAACTTCTATAATATTTCAATTTTCAGACTCTGTTTTGTAATCACATTCAAGATTTGGTGTTTGCGTATCAATGGTCAAATTATTAGAGAAAAGAATTCTCACCACAATTAAAAAATCAATTATTTTATTAATAGAAAGATTTCAGAATCATTTGCGTGACATCTACGTCATTAATTAGTACGATGTAATTAGTTAGACTTTAACAAATACAAGAACTACTAGTATTGGAATTGTATTCATCTCCGCTTCTCCAGTCTTACCAATTAATGAACATAGCGTGCGATAAAGAAATCAAACGACATTTTATATTAATTTGTTATCCTGTATTTAATAGCATTACCTACAAAAATAGAACAAATCCCGAAAGACGCGCCCTTTTTAATTTCCTCGGAAGCAGAATGAGATGGGTGTGGTATAAAATCTGTTACCGCTTGGGGTACTTTGATTTATAGACATTTCGTGCCTAACCCTTATTTTCAAGTGTGGGTAGCATTAAAATCGATTAAGTGGGACGATTTTATTTTTACCCAACTTTGGTGCATCGTCACTTGGATGAAAAGCACGACGAAATGATTAATTATAAATGGGCATCTATGACCACAGTGGAACCAGCTTCCGGTCAGTGTCGAAAGACCAGTTCGATATCACTTGTCATTGTTGATGTATTATGTCAATTTATACAAAGCATTTCATATGAGTATCTATGAAGATGACTCGCGTGATTTAACCTGAATGTAAGGACCAATTTTACGAAAACTTACGCGAAACGCTATTTTAATTTGAATCGATTCTATTTCACTTTTCGACAAAATGAAAACGCCATATTTTTTTAAGCTACATTTGGACGCTTTTGATAGAGGGTGAGGTTAAAATCACAAGTATTAGTGAGATTGAAAGTTAATCATTTGGCATATGAAGTTGTATGTTTTGAACAGTTTCACATAAATTAACGATATATATAAGTCTATTTTGCTGGGTTAGAAAAAAGTTTATCTAAAAATAAAATAAATAGACTAGAATGCGACTTTTTTCAACATGAGGTACTGAAAATTGATTGCTGATCCGAAAATATGCATTGTTTCATAACCTATACAATAACGGCAATTTATCAAACCGATCCACGGACCTACTCCGTGTTGAATTTGATGAACATATTATTTAGAAGTGGACTGTATTTATATAAAAACTTTGGATTTAATAATAGTTATATTGCGTCTGGCACAGGCGAAGACCTCCGCCTTCTTAAAAAACGTTACCTCCAATAAAATGATTAGATGTTTTCAATTTTGGTAGCAAATAAGTAAATACCAATTCATCCGAGAAGCGGTATAGTGATAAAACAGCTCGGCAATACATTACAAGCTTGTTCTACCAGAGTCACGTAATAATTGATTTTCTATTATTCGTTTCAGATATTTCAGAATGTGCATCAAGCCCATGCGATGCCAATGCTAATTGTACTGAACCAACTGCCAACAACTATACTTGCACATGCAACACAGGTTACACTGGAAATGGAACAAGTTGCGCAGGCATGTTTATTTTATTTTTTTGTCAGAACGACTTCTTACAGATGATATTCATTTTGGTCAGTTATTGTAACACATTAAGACAAATTGTGCGTATAAAACATCAATCCCCAAGAAAGCAAAGCCGATAACACTCAACAGTATGCCGAGCCACGATATCGCGGCTCGGTAGAAATCCAGGCAGAGTATGGAAATAGCTGAACCTTTTTAATGCAGGGACGTCGGTGATAATGATATAGGTGGTGGGAATGGGATTTTGATTTGGTCCCGAGACCTTTAGCTTGTGATGTGATCATAGCTAAATGCAACGATCCGCCAAGTTATCGCGTGTTTAAACGATTCACAATTTTTGATCTATAATTCAGATCTATAATCTTTTATAAGAGTCCTTTTTTTATATAGTATGATTAAAAAAATAATTGTAATTCTTGAAATATGAAATAATCATATGTGTTTAATCTGTATATAAGCACTTTACCTCAAACTTTGTACCTCAGCTCCTGAAATGCCATTGTGGAAAAGTGCTCCCGACTTAGTTTGAAACATGATTTTGATATTGTTTACTGCAGATATTGATGAGTGTCCAGCAGTGATAACTATGGGGTTGCTTGGCTCCGCTCCGGTCACGAATCCATGCCACGATAATGCAACATGCACTAACAATATTGGAAGTTACACTTGTGAATGTAACGATGGTTTTACTGGCAACGGAACAAGCTGTACAGGTGAGTTATTTGGGTAACATATTATGTTTTACTCGGTTAAATAATTGGCATGTTTTTTCTTGTACTTTTTACTGTTGAAAATCAACTCATCGGAATATACTCGGAAAACATTTAAGTTGAACAGTTGAAAGCAAATCTTCCGAAGCCTGACTCTAAATAATGAACATGTTAATTATTGTTAAAGAAACCCTCAAAACAAACAAACATCTTATGAATTTGAGAACTAAATCTTCATTCATGATTATGAGTATGTTTCTCAATCAATAAGATAATTTACAATGCGCCAAATTGCCCCCATATATATATATTATTTATTTGACTATCATAAGGGTTGAGTAGTGATTACCCAACTCGTTGTTTAAATTTGTTTACATCATATCCCAGCTCATTGTATTGTTCTGTATCATTAGTACGCAGTTGTAAAATCGTAAATATTGGCTTGAGAATGATAGGTTCAATAAACTGGTCAATGCCTACTACCTTCCGTATATTAATCTAATTACGACCATTTTTATATTGCAGAAATTGATGAATGTTTAACTAACCCTTGCAATGTGAACGCTGATTGTACGGATCTGGTCAACAACTATACATGCGTATGTAAAACTGGATTCAGCGGAGATGGCGTCACTCTATGTGAAAGTAAACTATTTTTTAGAACTATATTTTTATTATGGAGAGTTCGTGTTAAACGGACTTATTAAAAAGTTATTTGAATAGTTTCCAACACCAACATGTTTCTTGAGGAATTTGAAACGTGGAAAGTATGTCTGTGCCATGAAACCTTTCTCAGGCGATAAAAAATTAGTTTTACGTTAGCATTCGTTTATTTTTTCTTCTAATAGAACTCGTTGTGCATACATGTGTATGTATATATGCTAAGATACGTAATCTAAAATTGGTTTTATTTTGTAAAATTCTCAAATCTACAGCTGAAATTGAATTCCATGGAGTTTCTTAGCTTCTTTAGGTTAATTAGTCTCTATTGTGCTTGAATAATTTATTAATGACCAATTTACCCAATCTTGTAACAATTTTTAAACGTATGCCATTTTCATATACTAATTGACATATTTTTATTTTAACAGAACAACGAACAAACATTACCATCTCATTCTTTGTAACTTGTGTAAATCAAATATGGGATATTAACTTGTCTTCAGCTGGAACCCCCATTAATATCAATATCACTTCACTCCTCGAGTCCGCTGTCAGTATATATCATTTTTATGTTTATTTGATCATGTTTACTAAATTTTTATTTACGTTTGTTGAACCTTTTTTCTAATAAATTATATTGCATTATTTGATGATAAAAAAGAGTGAAATTAACCCTAAGAATAGTCTGCATCCAATAAGTATTAGATTTTAAGTGATGTAATAATAAACTGCGAAACTGAATTTGTCAACTGAATGGTCTTTTTGCATTAAGTTATTCCCTATTGCTTTCTAGATCAGAACATTTGTAAATTCCGTGGACAACTCGGCTGGAATCTTCAGTTTGGTATACACATTCACAAACAGCTCAGACGGTAAGTCAGAAAGAGAATTTTATAAATTTGATCCAATCCACATGTATATACCGAGTTCAAGGACATTAAAAATTGAAACAAAACAAGCTTTGTTGTCACGTTAAACAAAAGTTGTCCCAATTTCACACATTTAACAAAAATATAGATGTTCATAATTTAGTATTTTTACTGTGTACAATTTTCTAACTTGACCGACTTTTTTTTTTTATATTTGTGATGTTTTACTTCACCCACCATTCAAATTTCAAATGTATTCAAATTTTTCAATATTCTAAATCTCGAATAAATTTCAATTCCATATTTCAGGTATGGGAAGCGCTCAGGCTGGAGTGAGCCTAACTATTAATAACACCAATATTGATGCTGTAGAATTTCTGAAGAAGGTAAATACAATCGTTGAGAACACACAATGTGGAGCAGTAGCCAGTAAGTCAATTACTTTCTATTCTAAGATTCAAAATTCTATGACAGAGACATTTATCAGATATTATAGAGGTTTCATTACATTTGAACCCACGACAATTGCACCTGCATAGTATTGCACCTATGGAAATTTGCACCTACGGAAATTTGAACCCATACTAACCCTCTTCCATGGATTTTAGCACCCGCATATATATCCCGCGGATATACGGGTGCAAATGTATGGGTTCAAATGAACGTGGGTTCAAATGTGCTGTCACCATTATAGAATATATCAAAGACAGAAAATATTGCGTCCAAAACCTACAGAATCCATTAAAACCCTAATCACTTTGGTTAATAGATTATCGGAATTTTGTTCTCAATGTCTAGTTTTATTTTTGGGACTATGTGTGAAAATAATGAACCGGTAAATAAATATAATATGGGGTTTACAACAGATTATCTACAGCATTCGCGTTTTGGTTTTTATATGTTTCTAGTTTTGTGTAGCTTTAATACAAACAAAGTGTGGAATTGTGTAATACAATTACCACAAGCCTTTCAAAACCACGTACTTGCCTTTCCGTAACATAGTAATTTTCAATACAGGTGCCGACGAGTGTGGTTTGGGAATCGACACTTGTGGTTCTGATTCTGTTTGTGGAAATTCTGATTACGGATTCTGCTGCTTCTACAGTACGTTATTAACTAATGATTTGAAGTATATAAACCTGTTTCTATAGTTAGGATATTAAAGTGTGTTCCGGTAGGTCAACCAATTAATCAAGTTATGACTTTGAGACTGCTTTACTGAACTGAACGGACTTGTATAATCTGCCAATCTGAATTACGCTTCAAAAAGCATTTTCTTCCATTTTATACTTTACTTTGATACATATTTTACTTTGATTTACTATAACAAATAAAAAAAATTAGAGTTTTTTGGATAATATACCCGATAACATAGGTTGTTTTAAAATACTGTTTTAATATTCCTCAAACTTTTTGAGGAAAATAATTGCATCTTTTTGAGGCGATTATAAATGAGTTATAATATCTCCAATTTAATTTAAAATTTTGATGTTGTTTTGATTGATGTCCAACAAATTTTTAAAATCGACATAAATATATATATTTTCAGGTTACGAGTACAGATTCGAAGTTAAATACAATACCACTTTCATTCCGGCCTACAGTAACGTTTCCAGTACTGAGGCTAGAGAACTTTTTGATGATGCAGAAGCAATTGTGAGTATCACGTTTTCCACCGATTTTCCACAAAAATTCAGAGTAGCCTATATGCAGATATATCTATCAGAGAAGACAAGAATAATAGTTATTTGACGCATTTATTGCACGTGAAAAAATGTTCTGCCATTGCTTATAATTTAAATATTTTGAACTATCATGATATTTTGATCGTAACCACTATTGTGTGCAATTCGTGCCTGCAACGATGAAACAATGCAAAAGTCGATTGGTTATTCTGTAAAAGGTTTTATAGTTTTCAACGTCTTTAACTTTTGCTCTTTCTATGTTCAACAAAATTAAAACAGTGCTGTGTGACTTTATGAGCATTTTATATATATCATGTTACATTCACAGGCTGGTAATGCTTTAAGCAACGCTCAAAATCGTGGTTGCAAATTTACTGTAACGTTTGAAGACGAGGGAATAGAACAGGGATCATCTATCGGTGTGATATTGATGAGGGTTGTAAACGGAACTAAACAGGCAACGGACATCGCAGCTGAACTAGCGAAAGCAGTCGGTCAAACAACAAGTTTCGGCACCATCATTTCAGCGGGAGGTTAGTACAGTATGAATCAGATATTCTGTTTAACTCTGGCCGAGAAAACGCAAAAGAGGAGCGAGCATTCAGATGTATCTTCGTTTTATGAAGCCTCATCTAAAACTTAATAATTGGGTTTGCATTTCGCATACCGCATTCAAGTTCACTGTAACTATTAAACTTAGATTTTAATCATAGGTGTTCCGTGAATATACACTGTTTTTTTAAAACACGTATTAGCACGAAAAGTAAACTGTGATTATCGGTTCCTGCGCTATTATTAGATATTTGTAGATAATTTCATATATGACACTCCACATGTCCCTTCAGAATAAAGATTTCGGCAAATGGTCACTTATATGTAAAATACATTAGATCTGTAGAAAGAAATGAATGATTGATTCCGTTTCTCAAATTGTTGGTTCCGGGGTAAGGTGGTAAGCATGGATATCAATAATCAAGTGTGTTCTCGCTTATAACAGATTATGATGAGTGTGCAAGAAACTACACATCGGATAGAAATTGCAGTGCCTTTGCAACGTGTCTTAACTTTGCTGGAAGTTTTTCTTGCGAGTGTAATAGCACGTACTACGACAATGGAACGACCAGCACAGGAGAAATCTGCAGTATGTGTTATTTATAATTGTTTTGTTTTATTTGCTTAACTTTTCAAGCTCTAACTGTTTTTCAAAGCATCAATTGTTGTGAATCTATGCTATGGACAGCCACTGAAAATAATTCTTAAAAAAAGGAATATAAATATGATTTAAATGGCTTTGTATTCGTAGGATTTTAAAGCGATCAAAAATACTTAAACTATATCCTCGGCTAAAAATCTAATATATTTATTACAGTTACGCCAATCACCATTGATTGTAACGGCACTCAAGCTACGATATCTGTGCTACAGAACTATTACACTCAAAAAAATGTTTCTCTCAATTCTCTGCATCTTGCTGACGAAGCATGTAACATATCGACGCATGGCAACTTACTAGGAGACTCCATCCACTTTGTTTTCAGCCTAAATGATTGCAACACAACTTTCACTCAGTCAACAGTACGTATGCATGCGAAGAATTGTCATTGTTTTCAGGATTGTTTCAAACACGAAAGAATATCATACAATATTACTTTTTGAAATATCTCCCACAGAGCTATTTGGGAGTGATTGCCCGTCACCGCTTATTAAATATGATAATAAAAATATGGAATTTACCTCCAAACATTGTTGTCATTTGGTTGAAGTTGTTTCATATACGATAGAATATCATAAAATACCACTTTCTGAAATAAAAATTTTAAGACCATGCTCGGTCTGATATTGGTATTGTGATGCTGTTAACAGTACTCTCGTGGACAATAAACAAAACAAACAAGAATTACTTCATATATTTATCAAACTATATATTTGAATAAAAAAGACTTTCTAACTAGTTTATAATCCCGAGCATTGAACTTAATTTTCTGATTTTTTTTGTCCTTAGAATATACTAATACCGAACTTGCCACATATTAAAAAAGTTTGATTTATATTTCTGCAGGATAATTCTTCAATTATTGCCTCCAATTACATCAGCAATGTTCCAAGCAGCGGATTCTTTACTGGACACGCGATTAATGTACCTTTCCAATGTAATTTGCCATCGACAGTCAACGCCACCATACAATACAACTCTTCTGTTGCGTAAGTTAGATTTGCAATAATGCCTTTGCCCGGGGTTCGTATTCGGGTCTCATTTTTAGTCGAAATCTTTGAAAATTGTTTAATCATTCTCGGTTAAATTCTAACTCTAACAGATGGATCGGATCATCTCGCTAAATTACTGTTGTTGTTGGAAAACACTGTCAGTACTTAGAGCTGGAAGTAATCGCTAAAAGGCTCTTTGAGTCCAACGGGACATGATATTTTACCCAAAATTCCACTGTTTTGCGTTTTATTCATGGAAACACTTTTATATGACTTTCGTGTTCATTCATTTCTTTAATAAAATTCTTCTTCAGAAATATCGATTTCCCAACTTCTGAATCAACCGGTGGAGCGACTGTGGCACTGACTGCATACTCAGATTCAGCATTTCAACATCCATTGACTGCGGGTGACAGGGTTAACACTACTTCCAACATTTACTTAAAGGTTAGTACGTGTTGCAAATTTCTTAAACTTCGCAGTTGACGCAGCCTACTTGTAAGAGATCTATCAAGGAAATATCCAATTAGTAAATATATATTTTATATTTTGAACAATATTTAGTTCCAGCTTTGTGCTCAACCAGAAAAGAGTTTTGGTTTAAAAATATTTTCAAGAATTACTACAATTGAAAAACAAACAAACAATATATCAATATACACGGGTGATTAGTGAACAAATTCATACTACCGGAAGACTTATAATTATTTCTCATTTCATAGGCCTTCGTTTTTGAGCTCATCCAGGTGAGCGTCGTGCTGAAAGAATTAACTGCAAAAAATAGCCGAGGTACAGACAGTATAGACCTCATTAAAGATGGGTGAGTAATATCCATTTATTAAGTTAATCATTGTCTCCCAATTCGACACAAAGCCAGGCTGCCGATTCTGCAAATAGAGAATCTCCAATGTGTTATATATATATGCCATTCTATTGGGATGCATGTGTATCCACCCTTTGCACTATTTTGATGATATATATAGGACAAGAATATGAATTTACACAAGTAAACACGTATATGTCGAGTTTTCAACGAAAAGATTTATATATCAAAATTGGCGAAAACATGATACCAGGCCTATTTATAGTAAAGCAAGTTCTTTCCGGTTGTGCGCGTTCGCGCCGACAAAATGATCTCCCGTATTTCAGCGCCAACTGCCATTTCATACCATTAACGAATATTGTAGGCTTATATTTTACTGCTAAACATTATTGCCTCGGCCTGAGGCACGTACATTTTATTTGAATACCAACATTAGTTTCAGAATAATATGATACGGTAAATTTTTTAGATGCAAAGCTACCAACGAAGTTCCTTTTCTTGCCATTTTATCCAACGGAAATGGTGCATCAACATGTATGTTCCAAGCGTTCACATTCACTGATGATGAAGTTGTTGACATTGTTGCGACAGCCTTTCTATGCGCGGGAACCTGTCAACAGGTAAGTCAGTCGCAGGTGACAATATATCGAAGTGAATCGTTTCTTACGGACCAATGGCCGACCATGCTACAGAGTGACATCTGAAATGGGCGCAAAAATCATAATATCAAAACCGAATTCACGATGAAATATCAAACTAAACTAAATATTGTCATACGAATCATACTTTTGTAAAACTATACATCTGCAATTTTCAATCTATGGAAGGAAGTGGGTTTGTAGACTACTACAGGCAACAGATATGCATGGTCGCTTCTGAACAGATTCGAGTTTAGAATGAGTGAACAAAAATTGTCAAATTATGATGTGGGTTTATTTTAAAATCTACAGATTAAATTGTTCGTAATTCAATTCAATGTAACTAAATGTTTGTTTCAGACTTGTTCATCCAGACGGCGACGTGATGTCAGCGACCTTATGATGCCTGGAACACAAGAGGTTGTATTATCACTAACAATAAAAGTTCGACCTAGCAGTAACGGCACTATGATTGTAGATGGAATTGTTGTCAATAACAACAGTGAGTATATGAAATATGTCGATTTGTAAAATTTAATAAAATTTGATGAGAGATTACGTGCAAAAATAGCAAAATTTACAGCTTCAGATGGATCAACTTGATTAAGAGTCATGAAAACAATTTCAAAGGATTGAAAAATTGGAAATACTAACTTGTTGTATGTTCGTTTCGATTTGAGTTTCCCTGAACACTCGTTTTCCCTTTATCCTCTAGAATTTCTCGGAATAGTGCATTCAATCGTTCTATTTTTTTCTAGATAAACCATCATCAGACGTTCACGATATCACTCTTCCAATCGTCGCAGCGATCCTTGCTTTCGTATTGATTGTACTGCTTGCACTTGTCGTGGTTGTCGTTGTTAGAAAACAAAGACACTCGAACAAGGAATACGACGTTTCACACATCAACATGCATGCGATTGGTGTGAAACCACCTAGCTACGAATAAACCGGTGATGGCGGAGCTGATTAAAATACGATCTAGATCGCGTATGATAAGGCGTTGACTTGAGATGAAGACGATTCATCTTTAATTAGCGCTTGTCGTAAAGCGATCCATAAACCGATTCAAAAAAGTTTGGAAATGACCTCAATTACGCAACGTACTATGTAAAAACTTAAAGCTCGTATACTCGGTATTTCACAATTGCATTTACGATATTTCAATCTGTTGTATTCTAAAATGTAGCATTTTTATTCCAAACCTTAAATTGAGTAGTATTTTCAAATATCCATTAGATTAGAGTATATATAGATATACATTTACAACCTTCAAATACCACATAAACCAACTTTGAAAACGCTTCAATCATATCATGACGACGAGACTGGAAATTATTCTATGGCACTTGAATTCAATATCTGTACTGGTTTATGAGTACTGTATTTATGGATCGCATTTTCTGAAAATTTATAAGAATTCGTTCATTAAATTTACGTCATTTTAGATTAAAAATAACGATTAACCAAATATTTTCCATTTTGACTAGAATATTTTTGCAGTGCTTCGAATATTTTCAACGATGTCTCTGAATTTTCTCTCGATCGATTTTTTGCTAATACCAAATTTCAGATCACTACTATAGCGTCATATTTAAGTAAACGTTCGTTTTGCATCTCAAGTCTGATTAGGCATTTCTCATGTATGTACCAATTGATTATAAATTTTGCATGGAATGTTTTTAATCGACACTTGAATGATTCCAAAATTTTTTCAATAATATGCAAGTTGCACTTAAAAATGCCCACCCTATTTTTCGGTTTTTCAAAAAAGTTCATCCATATTTATTAAAAATTACTATACAAGCCATTCCATCCCTATAAAGTAAACTTTTACAAAATGACGCTACCCGAACGTATTTTCCAATGAGTATGAACTGCCGCGCCATTCCTGGCGTCGTCAAGTGACTTCAAGGAAGTTACGTCTGATTTCTACCAAGACGCGATGTATTCTACAATTCACGTTGACTTTTTCTCAGCTGTTTGAAACAATGACGTATTTGTTAAATCTGTTGCTCAGATTATGGGAGGAAATTTCGGCGAATTGTGTGCATGCGTTTTTTCAAGTTTACATGCTTGTCGACTTATATTTCTGTACAATATATATCGGCATATCACTAGACATTGCGTGATTCTATTTTTTATTGAAATAGCACACTGGTGTATAGAATTACCTAGATTCCTCATCAAAAATAAAAGGTTCAGGGGTATCAAAGTAACCCGGTGTCGGTACCGCACTAGTATATACAGATGTCGTGACAGTGACACCAGTTGGCATTATTTGAGGCAGGCTTAATTTGAAGCACATCGGGGCCATTCTACCATGGCAAAAATAGTATATATTCATTTGTATAAAGACAGTTACTGAGTTTCCATGGGTGTTTCTCTGAGCATCGATTTCCATAACAATGTTCAATCAGCAATAAGTCTAAGATGACGTTACAATGTCAATTTATGCAGTCGCTCAGACGGATGTTCAAGCATAGTTGCAAACATTAGCCCGTTTTCGTGGTTTTGCGTGTTATTCGTCAGTTTTCAGTTGTGTATTCAAAAATTAGTCGTAAATCAAATATTTTAATTGCAATTATATCTTCTTAGGTGTTAATTTAGTTGCCATAATCACAAATTAGTCCCTAATAATATAAAATTAGCTATCAGTGCCTGTAAGAGGTACGTTGTTGAATGTTTTAATAAAAATGATGGTTTTGACATGTAAACCAGTTTATAAGCGTAGTATCAAAATTTTTTGCCATAGTAAAGTATAGGTAGAATTTTTCTGGGGTCAAGGGGCGGGAAAACATCCATCCGTGGGCAAGCTCCATTACGTGATTGTGACGTAATTTTTGGACGACATAGTCAGGTAGCCCAATGATAATATATACATCTAATTCTAATGATATGTAAATACCTTTCCGGATACGACATTGCCTACCCGATACCGGTATATGATCAAGACTTCCTCGGAAAATTAAAATGCAAAAATAAATTATACCGTTATAATACTTTATTTATGGCAAGCGATAGTGGCTTCAATTATAAAACATGTTCTATATACCGAAATACCGGTACATTTTCAGCATTACGAACAGTGAAGTCGCATCAGGAATGGTACATTATCAACAATGAGGACGCATAAGAAATAAGGAGTGGCACAATATTGACAATTCTTCCACTCATTTTGATATTGTTTATAAAGTTCATTATGACTCAGACTCGACTAAGGAATAAAAGTAGCAGTGATTCGACTTCATTAAGGATTGGACATTGCTTGGACTCGGATTGATGATATGCCACTGTGCTTTGATATTTTATTTTTGCCGTGATTATTCGATAAAGATTGGTGATATATACTACATAGCACCACTGTTTTTATGGGATATTTCACACATTCCCATTGGACAAGGCTCTGAACACGGCGTTACTCATACATCTACTACCGTGTTTCCTCGAAAAATAAGACAGGGTCTTACCTCAATTTTCTTTCGAAAAATAACGCCAGGGCTTATTTTTGGGGGACGTCTTTTATTTTCCTTTATCAAAAACAAAATTACAAATTAGAGAATTACGAATTTTCACATATACAAAATATGAATCGTGACGAGATCTTCACATTACCTCAGGTAATTGAACCTTTTCCTCTCTTTCCCCTTTTTAGAATAATCATTTGAAACGCGTAAGACAGATTTCTTGCTATCGACAAGATCAAAAAAATTTCGTGCTATCGACTAGGTCTTATTTTAAGGGGAAGGCTTATATTAAAATCATTTTTAGAATTCAGTTTAGATATTATTTTCGGGAAAACATGGTATGCATCTGCGTTGTCTATAGAATTATTAGTTTGAACTCAACTATTGCATGAGAACGGTTTCATCTTCTGATAAGGAGCTTCACAATTTTCCCGTAGCAAACCTCTAAACAAGTTTTTGTCACTTGGTGACATCACACAAACTTTGAGAATGACATGTATAATTTAACTGCTGATATATTCGGACATAAAACCAGTTTATGTTGGACTTTTCTGATATCAGAAACAGCGCATTATGAACAGTGAAGTCGCATTAGGAACGGCACAATACCAGCAATGCACTATCAACAAAGATGGAAGCATTAGGACGGCACAATTATTTATACTGGTACACGCAATATGTAGACTACAACTATGCATTTTGTGAAGAAGTGAATCTTTTTGTTATCCTAGGTCTTAGGACTTATAAAATTGGATACAGATATCGGAAAAGAATATTCTCAGTTTCTAATGGCGTGCTTAATAACTTCTCTAACTCATGGATTCTCAAACTTCTGGTGTTGCAAAGCCCGTGAAAAGATTCGCTACTATTCACGGAGCCCCGCAATAAATTTTAAAGTTGTTACTTACGTATTAAGGTTTAATATCAGCCCTAAATAAATCTAAATTTCGCAGATAAATTATATATATTAAGGCTGTAAATTTGACGCTTGACAAACATATTAATAAATTTGGGGGAAGACTGAAAAAGTCGATAATAACGTGCGCGATTGCATTTTGGTAAAATCACCGATTGTTTCCGTCAGCTTGAGGTGTTTTTAAACATCTTTACGTCGGTGTTTATTCTTCCCTAAATCAAAAACTGTTCTCGGCATATGCACGTATTGTTCCACGAGAACGACGATCATTACTTATCGATCTTGATCGGTAAGAATGTTGATAGGTATTAGTCTGTTTGTTTGTCTGCCTGTTAGATACACGCGATATCTCACGAAAGCGAGGTTGAATCTGCTCCAAATTTTGCATGTGCATTCATCCTATCTCGGACCAGAAGCCTATTGATTTTGGATGAATTATGTCGTATAATTAGCGATTTTTTAATTAATTAGTGATGGGACACGTGGTGTCGCTATTGATTCAAAAAGAAGGATACACGCCGCTAGATTGATAAATCGGCGGTCTCCGATCGTTCAGTGTGCAAAACAAATTAGTAAATTATAAGCATTGGCGACGATGCTAAAAATAATTAATAAAGAGGTGATCTGGGCCCAAAATATTAACTAAAACCTAAAACGGAAGATAACGCCATAAGTTTCGTTTTAGCAGACTCATAACAGATAAAAAAAAAAACGTTAGTTTAGAGTTCTCGACATTGTAAATCACAGAATTTGGTGTTATGATAGATTTCTTTGGAAAATATACCGTATTAACTGAAATTGAAACACAGTTAATTGTGCGCGCGATGTACCTTTTATCCATTTTAAAATTTCCGACGGAGCCGCATGCGACATTTTCTCGGTATGTGACTTTAGTGTAAGACAAGGCTGCCCAACCCGCGGCCCGCCGAACTGTTTTTTGCGGCCCGCCCTATAAAGTTTGTAAGCAGACTTTTTAAATTTTTACTATACATTTTACATACATTTTACCATACATAAGTATCTTTCGTGATTTTGGTGTAAATATTCCTGCCATCTAACTACGTTCAAATGCCGGTTCTTATTATTTCGTATGTGTCAAGTCTTGCACCCTGGTGGATATCAAGTCAGCTTTTTTTATTTCTCGCTGTGCGTTCTGTTCGACGAACTCGAAAGATATTGTGCGATCATGGGCGACGAACGCTGATCGCAATTATAGGAATGAACTTGGAGCCTAAGTTTGCAATTTAATTTCATTCTGATTGCTTTCTTTCGTGTCGGCTTTGATCGTCTTTATCGCCAAACTAAAATAAAAAGTCATCAATATCTTGTGTACTGGTCCCCGGACTCGTTTTCTTTTTGTGTTTGTACTTTTGTTCATGTTATATTCGCGTTGAATAAGATTTTGGAAATGTTGTCACTGCGTATCAGTCAATAATTCTGATGAAATTGACGTAATGGCATTGCTACTTATTAGTCACAAATCACTGAAATCAGTATAATATCGGACCATTCATTCAAAAATCTTCGTTACGTTACTTCATTAAATACTTGTATTGATGTTTCAAATTTTACGAAACGGCCCACTAAAACTTGATATTGCTGCGACATTGGCGCACATTATGCTCATTGAAACATTAAAGCAGCATCGTGGCTACTGAAAATAAATGGATAAAAACACTTTAACGCAAATATAACACTCAATTTTGACGTGATGTGTGTGTTTCTTGCGCGGTCGTCAAGAAACCGCAAGTATATTGATTCTTTGATTCGGTCGCCCGCGAGTGTTATGTCCACGCCCCGTTTACCAGATATTCGAATAGTAAACTGCTATTCTAATATTCGACTTGATATTCGAATAATTTGCCAGCCCTACCCAGTAACCAGAAAGCAATTTTAATAATTTGATTGATTTTATGTTAATAAACTCGCATTTTATGTAATATGTAATTACCTACACCGAAATCAGGACTTATCTGGTATTAATGTTTGGTACAAACGTCTGCGGCCCGCGACCGATTTCGTGACGTGAAAGTGGCCCGCGAGACGAAAAAGGTTGGGCAGGCCTGGTGTAAGATATATCAATTAATTTTTTATTGCAATAAAGTAAATTTCAATCGTTCGTATTTGTCCAGATTTTGGGAATTTTCAAACTGTGATATGATATCTTAAAAAGAATCTGAGTGGCAGACTTGCTTCAGGGCGGAGTCAGTGTTGGTTCATTGTTGCTCATTTCACGTCCGCGGATTGTCGTGGTAATTTTGAGTTTAGCAGTGATTTTATATTGTCACAAGTCGCAATCGCAGGTTACATTGAACGCAGTTAGGCCAATAAACAAAGCATTTTAAATATGCCCTCATCAGTTATGGATTGTGCTGTACTTATTAATATTTTACCACCGACCTTGCGATTTTTGTAATGACGATATCTTGCCTAAAAATAATCTTGGGTGCTGAAAGAACAAATCAAATTCGACGAATCTCAAAAATACGATACCAGTCTACTTATAGTTGGCAGTTTAGCAGGTATTTTATGCCATTTTAGAATATTAATTTTTCATATCAATAACCGTAATAGTTATCTCGACTTGAAGGCGAGTAACAATGAACACAATTAAATTATTATGGCAAGACATATTAAATGCTCGCATCGGGCATGAATTGAATATTTTACGCAACAGAAAAGTCGTTATCCGCTGCGATCATGCATATATGATATAGATCATAGGTTCTCAAAGTGCTCCGTGAAAGACACATAGGGGCTCCGTGAAAGACACATAGGGGCTCCGCGAGCTATCCTGACTTGGCTAATTTTGTAACTGTCCCGGCAATAATAAATTTGACAACGGTAGCGTCGAAAATTCATATATATATATATGACATTATCTATAAGCAGGGGCGCAGCCAGGATTGCTAAAAGAGAGGGGGTTCGGAAATTCCCGCACAACAGTCTTCGCGAGTAGGTCACTCCATAAAAAATGACTTCTCATCGGATAACGAGATTTCTGTTTCGTAAAATATTCAATGCAAGTGGGGTATCAATTTAATTGTTTTCATAGTTACGCGCCTTTGCGTCAACTAAAATGCTGCGACAATCTGTAGACATAAATACGCGCTAAACTGCCTACTATAAATATTATTAAAATAAATAGTTGTTCTTTCAGCACTTCAGATTATTTTCAAGCAATATATCAGATATAGTCATTACAAAAATTCCAAGGTCAGCGTCAACATCTCAATGAGTAAAATTCCCAATTGCGCAAGAATTCAATCCAGAACCCATGCGGACATATTTAGAATGTCTTGTTCAATGGTTCAATTGTGCTTAAACTGACTGGCTACTACCAATCGCTCACGTCTTTGGCAACTTTTTCAGTCTTCCACAAATATCAGAAGGAGAGAAGAGGGGGATGGTCGAACCCGAAAATCCCCCTCGCCTGCGCCACTGTTTTTTGGTTCCAATAAATGATGTCATATTCAAATTATCACCTGGATGCCTCATTTCGACACTACTTTGATAATATGTTTGTCAAGTGTCAAATTTACAGCCTTAATATATATTATTTATCTGTGAAATTGAAATTTATTCCTATTTTGTATCACCCCTATTAAAAAAGGTTTAGCATTTAAATAAAGTAAAGTGATTTTAATTGACTCAAAAACTATTTTATTTAAAAAATTCATTGTGGGGCTCCGTGAATAATAGTTAACCTCTTCATGGGCTCCGTAACACAAAAAGTTTAAGAACCCCTGATGTAGACAATGTAACATTTGGGACCTCCTGAAGTATGCACACCAAGATGGCGCACAACCTGAACTCAGGTTGTGTACACTGTGCCAACGGCCGGCAACCAACTTGTCTAATGTTTAAACAAGTTCATGGTCGCCATCTTGTGCCATATTTGGGAAACACGAAACAATGGAGTCTTATGGGGGAATTTTCGTCGTGTTGTTGTACCGAATCGAATAAGTCCGCTTATAAGGGCTAGAATGAAGCTGGAGGGTGGATTTAGAACTTTAAGATATATGCTATCTAAATATATAACGCAATTAAGAATAAAAAACTATCTAATGCGTTAAATTTGACCCCAAACACAGCGTAGAACCATTTTTGGTCATTTTTTCAAAGATTTTATAGTGATACGCTAATTTGAGGCAGTAAAATGTCTCCGTAACAATCCTACAATGTCATTTGTTCTTCTAGCGCAGCTTGGAGCCGAGCAGTAAGGCATTATGGAGCTTGACAGACGAAAAATGTTGACCAGAAAATACAAACGGCCATTGAAGCAAAGTTGGGTCGGCCGGTAATTTCGACGAATAAATACAACTTTTCATCTGTGGCATCATATGGAACGCCATTGTCAAATGGTTAATTATGACGATTAGAATGCCAAACTCACTTCGGAAGCAACTCGGAACCGGTATACTTGTCTTCAAAACAATTTAATGTACTATAAATGTAATTTGGCAAACATGAAAGGGTATCAGCATGTTCGGCTAAGATTCTCCTTCAAAACGCGATCTTCAAAATTTTTCTACTCAAAATATAAGTAAAAATAATAGGTATGTTTCAATAATTGTGTGCGACCTTCCCATAAGACGCCGTGTTAGATTACCGAGAACAATAGGCACAATATGGCGTCCATTGTCTGAGCGTGCCTCGCTTATATTATATATACGCTTTGCACTGTACATGTTCGGGTCCAGGTTGTGCGACATCTTGGTGCGTATACTTCAGGAGTACCCACATTTGAATTACCGCCTCCTAGCCATATTTCGACGCTACTGTTGTCAAATTTTATTATTAATGCTATTTTTACTTCTTGGGACATTTACAAAATTAGCCAAGTCAGTATTTTGATACGGTCTTACTACTTACTGAATACAGCGCGAAACACCGCAAAGAGCGCAAAACAGTGCGAAACAGCGCAAAACAGAAGGAAGCGCTAAATTTTTGCAATGAGTTCGGGGCACCTTGTTTTGAGTTGGAGTACCACGGCAGCAAATTAAAAACACAAACCAACGTATGTAGCCAGTAATGCTGTAATGGCAGGTCTGCCCCTGCTGGTGACACATTTTGGGTACCATAATTTAGAACATTTTCCATATGGATATGGTTAGCTTTAGGGTTAGGTAGAAAAGGACCTCCAGAAGTATGTGCACCAAGATGGCGCACAACCTGAAAATAGTATGTGTGTGTGTGTAGCGGATTCAGGTTGTGCGACATATTGCTGCACATATTTTTGGAGCACCAAAAAGGTAGATAAAATTTCGCATGATGACCTATAATCCGGTACATAACCTTGTATATATGCCGGAAATAGCGCCATAAAACCATAGCGAGAGGCGCCGTGGTTCTTTCGTGGCAGGAGGTGGTAATGACTGCGTCTCCTGTTTTGCGCTGTTTCCCTCTGTTTTGCGCTGGTTTCCTTCTGTTTCGCGCTGTTTTCCTCTGTTTCGCGCTATTTTGCGCTGTTTCGCGCTCTTTTGCGCTCTTTGCGGTGTTTCGCGCTGTATTCAGTAAGTAGTAAGACCCTTGGAAGAACAAGATTGTTTTAAATTTGCATGGTTTTATTTATTTTGGGAACAATAGGACCACACCACCAAGAAAATATTACCGCTTCGTATATTAATTTGATTGTAACGATGTGATAACGACAAACTTTAAATCACTTGGTTATGTCTACCAATGAGCATATATATGTTCATTGTGCCCATGAATAAAATAGTGCTTACCGGTAAGAACGGCGCTCGTTATTTTTTCAACGACGCACGAATGATCGTCGCACCAACGAGCCTTTCGCATGATTGGAACATGTTAGTCGCCATGAACTGCGAAACAATAGAAAAATATGTCGACCTGCGGATCACCATGCGTCAACAGTCTGACAGTAAGACCGCTGTGAAGCTAGTAGCAAACCTTCTTTCTCGCAGCGGTGCGAGCGCAACATTAAATTAGTTAGTAATGTAGGCTATTCTATGTTTTTGTTTGTATAATATATTGGCGGTACAATTAAATTAGCCTTGCTTGCATCTTTTTGAATATGTACTGGTATCATGTCTCTGTTATACTGTTTAAATATTATGCAGATACTGTTACATTTTTGAGGCAATAAATAACAGAATATGGTACTCACATGGAAATTGTCATGCGGTGCAGCGGTGGTATACTATTTGGTTTGGGCTTTATTGACTAAATCTTCTTTACATTGCCGATAGATTTTAAGTGATATATTCGCTTGTTCATTTGCCTTTTTCACCACATGTATGTTATCGTTAACTAGACTTTTTAAGTTTATTGACACTCATTTTAAATTGGAGTACGATTTCATCTAACTTTGTCATAAACCATTGCTAGTGTCAGGATGTAATGACATGTTCTACCTTCCCTCTCATTCAGGCGGGTATCTACATAATTAGCACTGGTCGAATTACGCACAGATATCCAATCGAGAAATTAGGGCTTCTTGCGCACTATTCCCACCTCCATTAGGGACACTGAAAATGATTAGGTTATCTTTCCACAGTACTTAAACTTTACTCTAAAATAGGAATTATGACTGGAACACCGAGTGATCCACTACATTTAAATTTTTGTCAAGATAATTTTCAACAAGTACAGAAATATGTATTCAACCTGTTTTTTCATAAGGACATAATTTATTTTTCCGTAAGTCTGTAAGTAGCTATCGAAAAATTCCAGAAAAACGATTACAAGGTCTGAAGGTGCACGAAAATGTGCGTGTTTGTAAACTTTTTTTATTTAAGCAAATATACAATGGAACAAGAAAAGAACAGTTTCAAAATTCAAAGATTTAAAAATTTTCAACTTTAGAACTTATTTAAAACTGATAGTAGCAGCAAACATATCATATTTTAAACGGTTCTATTACATTGAACCCACGTACATTTGAACCCATGACAATTGCACCTGTATGCTATTGCACCTATGGAATTTTTTTGTGTCACGGATAGTTAAACCCATACTGCCATACTAACCTAACCATGGGTTTTAGTTAGTGAACCCTATATGGTTACTGATGTACGGTCCATTTTAAACACAAGAAATGTTTTTCAATATTTTTTTTGATTAATCTAGATTACTGGAGCACAATGCTTTCATTAGTTCAGGTGACATTCCTCTGCATGCACAAATATTTTCCAGCGAAAGAACATGTGGGCAACAGTGGTATTAGTCTATGAAAATATTTCCAATATCGATGTTTGATACAGATTTCGTGGGGTTCTCTTTATCACTTGTTCTAGGAAAAAGGTTATAGGCGGATATTGCTATTTGCTGTATTGTGATAGTGTTTTTGGGAGAATTCACATCTTAGCTTCATGTTGTTTATTACTTTCAAATTAGTGGCACATAGAGTACAAGAGTTTGGTCATCTGGCATAGTTATATTCGTTATGGCGGCTCAAAAAAGGTTGCAACATGAATTGATGGGAATTCAAGAAAATCCTCCGGAAAATGTTACTGCTGGGCCTGTGGATGAATGTGATATTTACCATTGGCAAGCCACAATCACTGGGCCACCAGATACTCCATACCAAGGTGGATTATTTTTTCTGGACATTCGCTATCCGTGTGATTACCCATTTAAGCCACCAAATGTGCGCTTCATCACGAAAATCTATCATCCCAACATAAACTCTCAAGGTGGTATTTGTGTCGATATTCTACGAGACAACTGGTCTCCTGCTTTAACCACTTCCAAAGTTCTGTTGTCCATATCTTCATTACTTGCAAATCCAAATCCTGATGATCCTCTTGTGCCAGAAATTGCAAATTTGTACAAGTTTGACCGTTTACAATACAACAAAAATGCAAGGGAATTCAGTAAGAAATATGCTATGTGACCAACTGATTCTGAACCTTCAAATATCACTGTCATTCAGAGTTCAATCCTATTTAATCCCATTCAGTCTATAATGGTTAATCCATATGGCTAAACTGAAAATGATTTAAACCATAGAAACAAATTATTTTCAAATAATGCATGGATTTATGGGTTTTATATAAGGATTTAATGTAAAAGAGCAAAATTTGAAAAAGCTATTTTGAGTAAAATTTTTATATTTTTTTAATTCCCTGTAATCTTTTTATTGGAATATTTTGATGAATATTGCCTCAAACTATGATTGATATTGAGTACAAATTTCTATATCAAATTTTCAGATTTAAATAGGCCTATTCATTGAAATTTCAACATCTGCCCTTTTATCTTAAAACCCCTGATTTAATTTCTTGTTTTTTTTTTGTCTCGACATCTCGTTCGGCAAAAAACATGCGTAAGGCTTGGCTAAAATGTTTTTATTGTGAGGTCAGATGTTTGAAGCATTCCACTGTTTTTCTTTTTTATCTCTGGTCCTAAACCCATTCTGTGACCCATCATAAATAATAGTGGTAGTAATCCATCCTTTATAGAATTCAGTTACATGATTCTCATCATTATTAAATGGACTGTATTGGAATGTTTTATATTAAATTTGTCTGACTTTATTCAAAATAATAAGTTTGTTTTCTACTCTGAAAAGTTCTGATATTACAATCTGATCAATTTCAAATAAAAGTGTCAAATTCTCATGTTAATATAATCAATGAAAGTTTAATAGTTATGTTTGTCCTATTTAGGGACAGGAAATCTAATTTTTATTTATTAACATTCCTGCTTGGTGATATACCAACTTAGAGATAGAGAAGCATTATGTTTACTATTTAATTATTTTAAGTATCCAAGATGCCTTCTTCATTGTGCTGTGATCTCATGTTTGAAAATTATTTTTAAATTTTAGGTAATTTTTGTGGTGTGCTTTTAATCTTATGAACTGTTTGTCCTTTTTTAGTCAGTATTATTTTCACCTCTATGTCAAAAATATTTTATATTTACCTGATAATGAATATTGACTATCCTACTAGTCAGACTTTCCATCTTGTTAAATGCATTATTCTCTTAGATTATTATCATTTTAGTCAATCTAGAGTTCTTTGACTTAAACAGGCAAAGTATGTTGTAAACCTGCATTTTTTATACTATGAGTTTCAAATCTATACAAGCTTTTTCGGATAAATTTAGTTTTATCATTGTGCAGCAACAAGGTGATGAATCAGAATTTATGAATGAAAAAATTGAAATTGTTACCCCTCAGCATTTACTGTTGGTTCCGATTGATTTGAATTTTAAATCATCCATTTTTTTTGGCACACAAGCATTGGTGAAGTACTTGATTTTGTACCAGTACTTTTTGCAAAATTCTGGAGAAATTTTGAATTTTATTGTTTGTGTGAAGTCAAGAGCTGTGTTATCCAGATTTCATATAGAATCTTTTTTGAATGAGTGTATTGAAACAATTCACATCGACTGACATGAAATATTCTTGTGGTGCGAGATCAGAATCCTTTCAAGTTCAATATCAAAAGACTCATTTTTATTATTTCAATGGAGTAGACAAAGACATTAAATGATCTACCATTCTATATTGTGTCTAAATTTGTAGAACAAAAAATTTAATTGGAATCTTTCGCTATAAAAACTAAGTACATTATTAGATTGTTGAAAAATCATGTGGAATTTCTCCTCATGAAATTATTATAGCAGATCGATAATCATTTTTGCTGCAAAATATATTCAAATTAATACTCAATCTGGCTTGATGGTCCTTTTTTATTCCTTTGAGATAGTTCAAAAATATATAACTGGCCTTCCTTATTAATCATAATAGTAAAATAGTCTGTATTGTTTAAAATTGTATGTATCTTCTTTCGTAATATATGTGTTCCGATATCGATCATAAGTCAGTACTTACGGTATTTAAAATGAAGCACTCATTCAAACTAACTGTCTTCAACTTTGCCCTTTTTGTCTTTTTTCATTTGAATTTTCCGTTTTGAATAAAAGTACTTTGTTTAGCCACTGTAGTTGTATTTGTGGTTAGTTCATGGCTTCCTCCATAATTTCAGTTTAAATAATTTCAGTCAAGTTTAAATAAAAATGAGCGAATGTAATCTGGATATTTCGGACGTGATCGCAATGGCATTTCTTTGTTTCACTGTGATAACGTCATCCCGCCAGCGTTTGATGATCTGACCCTGGGTAATTCCCAGGTATGTCGTACGACGATTGTGCTTTGCGTGTTTGCGCAATAAATACCGTGGCTCGGTGGTATTAAACTAGGGGCGTTTTCGAGGGATGCTTCACATTGGTAATAATATAAATGTGTTTTCGCATGGCGTAACTCCCCATAAATTACGTGGGTGTTTTCTATTTGTCAGTTTTGCCTTTTTAATTGAGAAGAATTTCACATATATATGTTTTGTCCCACCAGTGTATTTATTCATCAGAAACCATGAATATAAAGGGGAAAATCTCGCGTGAACTTTAGAGAACTTATATATTCCCATAGCCTATTCTCCTACCTCAGTACCATACTGCTTAAATTAATTTTAATTACTAATGCTGAATATTTTCAATATTTGAAGCAATCTGGACTCTTATTTGGCTACATGCTGGTTTTAGCGAGTAAAGTGGTCTAGCGGTTAGCTCACCTATTCATGCATTCAACTTGGGAATTTCTAGTTGGGCAATTTGGCATTAGGAGACTCCAACCATGATCAGCTCGGCGATATCTTTTTAGAACTATTTTTCTATCTATTTCACTCCTGTTAACTAATTCCGTTTCCAATTTGTCAATCCTTACAAAGCTATTAATACGTTGTATCAAAATTTTATTTTCTGATTATTTTGTTTGTGTTTTAGAGAATATCTTTCTATAGATATCATTTCTGTTAACTAATTCGGTATCCACTTTGACAACCCTTACAAAATTGTTAATATGGCGTGGCAAAACTTTTGTTTATTTGTTTGTATGAATTTATCTCTTTAGGCTATGTGCGCGCGCGTGTGTCTCAATTAATTTGATACACGTACCACTACTTTTGGCAACACCTTTTGCCTCTATTGGGGTAAATTAGCCTCAGTCAGTGTATTCAATATTTTGATATCATGAGGCACTTCCAGAAATGAATAACTTGTCAATTTAGCGAATCTAATATGAAAAAATAACTAAACACAACTGCGTAAATGCTAAACAACGTTTTTTAAAAAGTTTGCATTATATTTGATGAAAATAAAATACCTAAAACACACACATGTATTTATGGTAACCGTACATTTGAACCCACGTACATATTTATATAAAAAAGAAATATGAATATCACAACAGTTCTATAATCGAGTAATGCCCGATTTGTTTGATCATTGTATTTGCAGCAGAAAGTATTACATCGCTTGTTGACTGGTCCACAATTTTGCTCTTTCGTAATATTTTCGTCTGTCTTGAAGATATAGTCTAGCAGCATCACTATTCATTGGATCATCGGGATTAGGAGTTGCGAGTAGCGAAGTAATAGATAGCAATATTTTCGATGTTGTCAGAGCTGGTGACCACTGTTTTTGGAGGATATCGACGCAAACAAATCCTTTTTCACTGATATTAGGATGATATATTTTGGTTTCAAAGTGAAGTTTTGGTGGTTTGAACGGATAGTCGGTTGGATATGTTATAAAAATTTTGAATATTCCACCCTCATATGGTGTACCGACTGGTCCCTCAATTTCCGCTCTCCATTCAAATAAATTCTCGTCGTTTATTGGTTTCACTCTCGGAAATTCTGTTTTTGAGTTGGTGACAAGTTTATTGTACTCATATTGCAATCTTCTTAGTGCCATAAGCTCGATCAGCTTGTTGGATGCTGAGGGTCTCGGGATTCTGTGCCATTGTCATACGGACGAGACTTTATATACTTTTCGCTCTTTCGTCCACGTGGTGTTTTTTCGGGGAGATACCCAGATTTATTTTTGTTGATTTTTTTGTATCACAAGGTGGGCGTAATGGGCAAATTATAATTACGTCACCGATTTATATTAAGAACCACACACGACATAAGCTAAATATAGCTTAAGAAAGTTATGAGAAACATATAACTTAACATTCAGGTTACCCCAATTTTAATATAAGAGACTCTTCATGCAACATTCATATTGCAACAAGAATTAGGTTTAGATCATCAGTTTCTGCTTTCATGAGCGACATGTTGCAATCGAAACAAGAGAAGTACAGATGATTTTATAATAATACTATATATATTGTCCAGGGATGGCAAAACCACTGTGTTTTAGGTGATCCGCAAAGTCACAATTGATGAAAAACATGTTAACATTCCAGTGATGAAAAGTGAAATTGAACTGTCTAACCTTAGGCTGACAATCTATGTAACCTGTCAGTATGTCGGTGTGGGGATACTGGCAAAAATTATGTTGCCCGTTTATGATATGACATACAATTAATTGCTTTGTTCATCCTCGCAACTTACCTAGCTTCAATGGTTTCCTTTCGAAGATGCGTGAAACGAATAGATCTGGGCATTTCAAATCAAATAGTAAATTTTCAAATCGGTTCAGACGAAATTTGGTATCGCAGCCATGCATCTTGTTGTTTTATCCGCCCGCCAAAGGTCGAGGTGAAGTCTACAATTTCTTAATTGAAGCCTTTATACAACGCAATTCGGGCATATCGTTTTTCCTAGTTAGTTAGGATAGGATTGTATACATTTATCCCTACGGCGGCAGGGAGTCAGTCCGCAATCCTCTCGCACCTCCGAGTTATCGCTGAACATGTTTCGTATTGGTTTAAGAGCTCAGCGAAGTAACTGGGTGCTTGATTCTATGTTTTCAGTAATTTATGTGCCGGTAGGACTCTGAAAATAAAAAAGTCACATTTAATTACAAGTAATCGATTCGAAAAAAATATTCGTGCAATACTGAAACGAGAATATCGGTTGGAAACCGAAGACTTATCGATCGATAGTTAGGGGATCCCCAAAACAGAAACTGCAGTTTCGATTCATCGCTCTTGTAACTTGCGCACTGCGCATCGCACACACATACTCGGCGGGTTTCAAAATTCTCTCGCTTTACAAAAATCTAGATCACTATATCAATAATTGATTGATAACTCGCTAATTATACGACATAATTCGCCCAAAATCAATAGGATTCTGGTCCGAGATAAGATGAATGCACATGCAAAATCTGGAGCAGATTCAATCCCGCTTTCGTGAGATATCGCGTGCATCTAACAGACACACAGACAGACATACATACAAATACCTATCCATATACTTACCGATCTTAAGATCGATAAGTAATTACCCGAAAATGACCAGCCCTATAGAAACGAAAGGACCTCCTTTCCTCTCACGGAATGCAATTTGGAGAACAAAATTTGATTGACTTTGATTACCGGCTACAGAAAACTGGTTGAAAGCCGATCGCGAAATATATTTTTCTCAGAGTAGAATTCTCTTCCAAACTCTTTTGAAACCATAAAAAGATTCGCCATATTTAATCTGCATGTGAATTTCGTAAAATCGAGTAGTAGAAATTTCTCCAGTCCTGCGGCTCAAAACTACACCAATGACATTAAACGAGAATATCGGTTGGAAACCGAAGACTTATCGATCGATAGTTAGGGGATCCCCCAAAACAGAAACTGCAGTTTCGATTCATCCGCTCTTGTAACTTGCGCACTGCGCATCGCACACACACACTCGGCGGGTTTCAAAATTCTCTCGCTTTACAAAAATCTAGATCACTATATCAATAATTGATTGATAACTCGCTAATTATACGACATAATTCGCCCAAAATCAATAGGCTTCTGGTCCAAGATAAGATGAATGCACATGCAAAATCTGGAGCAGATTCAATCTCGCTTTCGTGAGATATCGCGTGCATCTAACAGACACACAGACATACATACAGACAGACATACATACAGACAAATACCTATCAATATACTTACCGATCTTAAGATCGATCACTAACAACATTAACAATACCAAACAAGGATGATATCATTATATGAGTTGCGTAAAATAAGCAACAGCAAGTTTTACATTGGTGCAGACCACAGAGCTATGTATTTTCAGTTCAGTGGTACAGACTAGTGTTTATTAACGGTGCAGACATTTGATTAAATATGACCCGTATATATTTCCCTTTTCCACAGCAAAAATATAATTTTTGACTAATTCAATAAAACGGTTCATCATCCCCGATCTAGGCTAGGCGGTCCATCTAAAATCTAATTTAAAATCGGCGGTGATTTTTTTCTTTACTCCTCCATTACAATTCAGCACAGCGACTGTTGAATCGGAAGAATATTTAGCGACCGTGATTAAACGGCCATGCTTGACAAGTCGGGAATATAGTTGTGAGTATTTATTTGCAAGTTAAACTGTATGTCATGGGCAGCGGCGTCTTTTTGAGCATTTTAGCGGCAAATGAAATTTATGATTATTTTATATCTTCTCAATCGCTCAACTGATGAGGAACGGAAAGTTCATTTAAAGAGATTTGTCAGTGAATCTAGTCGCGCATATACATACATCATGGACTATAAATTTGTTATACTGTATTAATAATAATAGAACATTCAACATGGTATGCTGGAAATCAACTTAATGTCCAATACAATTAATGAATTGGACCTTATGAATTGATTAATTGTTTCTTCTTATTTTTTCAATGGAAAAAAATAGTCGCGCAATTCGTAACCCCGCACGTGCTGCGATCAATTAAAATTTGAAAGGTCTGCAAAGCTCGTGGCAGCTGCGCGCGGTGGGTCGTGCGAAAGCTTTCGTTTGTCCCCTCCTGCTGTTATATTTCATCCTCTTCGTGTTGTTATCTATTTTGCGAAGAAAGGGTGTTAGTAATATATTATTTATTCGAATGGCCTGAAGTCGATGCTATTATTTGAAAGTTTGATTCCAAGTCGACATCAACCTACAGTCTCGAAATGGCAATCTTTGGATTTCAACTGTGCTTTACAATTACAATGGCGAGTTTCTTGCAGAAACTGACACCTATATACTCCCTTGGCAGATGGATACTCTGTGGTGGTGGATTGTATCGTTTTGTTCACCCCACTAATGAAGAACTAAAAAAGTTAGCTGGCAAAGAGAGTTCAGACAAGCGCTCTAAAAAGGATGTTAAGAATTCAAAAAAGTAAGTTTCAGTTTATGCATTATTGGTCATGGATGTTTTTGATATCTCTAATATCAGATTGCCATGATAGCTAGATGATTGTCATAGTACAGTTCAATATCCAAACACAAAAATCAGTCATGGCTGCCTGAGCATTTCTGCATTTAGCTGTGATATCCTGATGAAATAGAACTAGCCTATTGAATTATAGTAATTCAAATAAATCTGTTTATACTTATTTAGCTATATGTGAATTCCGAAATTTGTTATCACGCAGCACAAGTTTATCGTCTTGTTGTTATTGGATTAACATCTTCATAAAACACAATTTTTACAGGCGACATCAACCTTACAAACGCCTCGAGTGAAAAAACGAACAACACTACAAAAGAAGTGTTTAAAATACCTAAAAATGTGGACATTCCTTTGGTACAACGAATATCACGGTTCTTGATGCTTTGGGTTTTTGAGGTATGTATTTTTGAAACCTATAAGGTTTAGTACTTTTTCAATAATTTTGTATGACAATTACGTTTGTGAAAACAGGATAGCAACTGCATATTTCTAGTTTTCTGACATTTTCAAATGGTACATTCTGACATGCGAGTAAATGGATTTGAGAATTTTTTTAATTTTTTTGGGTCCAACTACTTATCTTCTACGCTTTTAAAACAGTGGATACAGTGTTGGATTTCCAGGTATGATGATTAACAAACCAGAACTGAATTGTTATGATTACTTAAAATTATAATTAGTGAAGTAAAATTAATAATAGCTTTTGTTACCTCAAAGTATCTAAGTTTCTGATATATTGAATTTGGCAAGGAATTTGTTGATAATAACGATAATCATATTGGTGAACATAATATGTTAAATTTTGAACATGATATTATTATTTCCTTTCGGTTGCACCACATAGTCTTAAATCGATATATAGATAGGTAATGCTTGATTCTCTATACGCTCAGGAAATATGATGAATATGAATGGCTGGTAGATTATGGCCTCTATGCAACAATAGTGTACTGTGGGACTGAAATTTATTATGAGTGGTGGAAGCCTGATCCAGAGTTCAATATTTCCATGGTTTGGTCTCTGCTAGCAATTGGTTTTGTCTGCAAGTAAGTAAATGAAATTCATCTTCTGATTAGGCCAACTACTTTTCATTCATTAACTGCAGTTAAGTTACTTGGCTCCTATATATATATATCTATAAATATAGTATTAAATACAGATAAACAGAAATAGCATAATCTCTTTGCACAAAATAGGAAATATATTAGTAATACAATGGACACATACAGATCCAAAGTAGACAATGAAAAAGAACCTGCAGTTCAATACACAATACCCCACTGCCCTTCAAATACAGACCCTGGAATTTTTAATTTCAATGGGAACTAATCTTAGCTACATACACAGATTAATGGATTCACTTATGTTATTTTCTTTGGTTCTGATTAAAGATAGTGGCAATGTATTGCCAGCTATAATACAACATATTATAGAAAAATTATGTTGCCATGATTAATGTGATGAAATTTTATTTTACAGAAATCTGTTTTCAATTATGAAACTGTACTTCAAGTCTGAAAGCGGAGAACTCTCAACCTGCATAACATTCGGATGTTTCTCATTTGTAGCATCTATGGCTGTTTTAGTTGTTGATGAACAGACGTTAGAATTTGGATTAGATTCTGCTTATAATGCTTTTGCACAGAATGCGAGCTTGCTTACCATCGGTGCAACAGTATATCCAAGCCCGGCACCAGCTCCACTGCCTTTACCCATCATCAAAATTGGAGTAGCATTTTTGAGTGGAATTATTGGTACTCTTCTTGCTTTTCCTGGGATTAGAACAGCTCAAATGTATGTAGATGGATTAAAATACTCCAGAGGAAACCAGCTTATTCAACTTTTGCTTCACATCAACTTTGCAACACCTTTTTTGATTTCTTTCATGTGGGTACGACCTCTGGCAAGGGATGTATTATGTGGCTCTAATGACATTGAATCTGTGCGAAAACCTTTTTTAACAGATCACCAATTTGATATAGCAAGATTAATAATAATAGTTAGTCTGTGTTTCTTGAAAATTTTGGCATTTCGCACCCATCTTCAAGCTTATTTAAATGTTGCATGCATAAAAATTAGAAACCTGCGCCGTGAGGCAGGTCAGACAACTAACACTGATATTCAAAAGACTGTAGCTAGAGTTTTCTTTTACTTGTGTGTGGTTGCTTTGCAATATATAGGGCCGGTCATGGCAGTTCTATTTTTAACTATGTGCTTAAAGACCATGGGTGGTTACTCATGGCAGCAGATCAGAGTGATTATGTCTTGAATTCTACTTATGCTAGCTTTAGTCAGAGTCATGCTAATGTACTTGATGAAGGAGCTACATTTTCTGAGATGGTATCTCATGCTGGAGTCTCTCTGGCACGCATGTCTGCAGTGTTCACACCGATGGTGTTTCGCAGTATATTTTCTTTCTTGATCTGGTGGTTATGCACAAGTTGGTTTATCGCCAGCTGCTTGGGAATAGTTTATCATCGATTCTTGTCTATCTAGATATTTGTTTAAACTTTCCGTTTGTGTTTAGTGTTTGCACCATTTTCAACAGTTTTCCTCGGACTTGATTTTATTTGCAATAAAACACCGTTAAAACTACAGTATACACCGTTATTCTAAAATGAAATAGAGACGTATAGGAATCCCCAAAACCTACTCCTTCACTCAACTAGCATATGGATAGGTTCCAACTTCAATTTTGGGTATCCCTGGGACGATTACGATAAAAAAATATGTGCAACTAAATTACATTAAAACCAACATACATATGAATATTAGAAACATTAAGAACTAATGATAAAAGGTACAGTATTGCACTATTGGAGTTGACGTGAGCTCATCAGTCTGTTTTCTTATCACCACCTGCAGCTATAGTTCGCGTTTCTTCTGTACTATTCTTATCATGGGGTGATTCTTCAGTTTTTCCAGTCACTGGGCACTGAAAATAAAGAATGTTGATTAGAGAAAGGTGAAGACAAAATGACGAGACTGATAATTATGTCATTCACGTGTCTTGATAGTTTTATTAGCATTATATATGCTTGTCAACAGCTTTTAATATTGTTTCGAACAATAAGGAGAGTTGGTTAACGTTCACTATAACAGTGCTCACCTTCATACCGGTAGTACCCCGATTTTCTGAGTTCGATTCCAATGATTTTGGAGTCCAGAATTTTGATATTATTGGATACAGGAACGGTTGAAGATACTTGTGATAAACCCATAATAAAAAAGGGATCACAATACAGGGTATGCAAACCATTTCACTTCTTTAACTTGATAATACAGTAATACTGATCTGTAAATAGGAAGTATTGTTTCTGAATGTCTATACAGCGTTTATGCTTAAATACCACACTTTACATTGCATAATTGATTTTTGAAGCTTATTTTGAGAGTGCTTACTCGATTACCATTTTGTTTCAAACTAGTAAACTTGCTTCTGTTAAAAAATGGTCCATCATATCTTCTTCAATTCTGTTTTTGAATACTGCAGCTAATCAAAAACGGTTGTAATAACAAAATAAAAGAATTCAAACAAAGAAAAGGCGAAGCAGCAAAGGGTGTTTCGACTAAGTTAATTCAGTACCGGTACCATACCTAATCAGCCATTACAGCATTAACAGATTAATGTCAGACTGTATTTCAGTACCGGTACCGTTATATTATTGTGGTTTCACATTCTGCCTCTAAGGGCTGTTTCACACGTTTCGTTCAGTTGTGCTCGGGAAGTCTTTCACGGTACCGGTACAGTAGGATAGCATACGTAATTCTTAAATTTATCAAAGAAGAGGTTTGAATAGGTAGGAACTGTACAGTACTCAAAATCTGATACCACTAATCTAAAGCCTTCTAGTTATGAGGAATCGATTGACAACGAAGCTACCGTACTAGTTAGTGCTGCCTGGCCAAAACGAATATCGATTATCACGATACAATATTCTCTTGACAATGACTTGGCACTATTATATTTACCTACGTCATAATTTTCGCTTCCTGTAACTTTATATCACAGTACCGATAATATAAAATACCGTATACTGTATATGTTTTCCCTGACCTTCCACCTCAAAAAAAGCTTTGGAAAACATTGACAACTAGTACAAGTATAACTTTATTTTGCATAACAGACAATCAAATAATTGATAAAACAAATGAGTAAAAACTGATTATAGAATCGAAAGATCAAATAAAACCTTAAGTAACTGCCGTGTTTCCCATAAAATAAGACAGGGTATATTATTTCAATTTTCTTCGAAGGTTATGTTGGGGGGTTGTCTTTTATTTTCATTTCTTAAAAGAAAAAATACAAAGTGGAGAAAACACGTAAACTGATGTCCATTTACTTAAAAAAAAACTACCAGGTCCTTTTTTGAGGGGAGGACTTATATTAAAATCATTTATAACTTCAGACTAGGTCTAATTTTCGGCGAAACACGGTATATGAATATTAAGTCTACTTGCATTCTCTAGACCAGGGGTTCCCAAACTTAATTGACCGTGGGCCAAAATTTGAAGCGGAGGGATGTTCGCGGGCCGGAAGAGTGTAGCGCCCGAAAGTGCGTGGCATGTCTAAGCTTTCATGGTTTATAACTAAATTACTGCCCTATGTAATCATAATACCGGTACGAATAACTGAGATAACGCTTTAATTGAATTGTTACGATAAAAACACGTGCTTAAAGTGTGATAATGGCATAACACTTGGCGCTATCTAGAATGCAAAAAGGTGAAACAAAATCTGTTGCACTAACTTCCACACTATTTCACTCAAGCTCGGCGGGCCATTTTAAATCGTTATGCGGGCCGGATTTGGCCCGCGGTTTGGGAACCCCTGCTCTAGACCGTATTTCACTTGCTGTAATAATCAGTAGTTTGGGAACTCTCTCCGAGTTTACTTCGTGACATTGGCCAATCAGCAAGATGCAAAAAGTGACGTAACAATGCCCCCTTTTCACATCCGCTCAGACACTTTTTTCACTCAGATTTTCAGGCGTGGTCGTAAACATTACCTTGTTTTGCGTTTTTGAACTCTATTCGTTAGTTTTCAGTTGTGTTTCAAAAATTCAAATAAATATCAGATAATTCAATGATCACTCTGTCTTCTTAGGATTTTTAATTTAATTGTAGTAATCAATTGTAGCCCCCTTTTCACATCCGCTCAGACACTTTTCTCACTCAGATTTTCAGGCGTGGTCGTAAACATTACCTTGTTTTCGCGTTTTTGAACTCTATTCGTTAGTTTTCAGTTGTGTTTCAAAAATTTAAATAAATATCAGATAATTCAATGATCACTCTGTCTTCTTAGGATTTTTAATTTAATTGTAGTAATCAAGAATTAGTGTAGAAATAGCTGTGATAGACTAGGCTAAAATTATTTACCGGTACTTTTAAAAAACATATTGTGGTATGCGGATAATCATAATGATGGTTTGAAACAAATACCCCATTTTACAGGCACCAACTCGCGAAACCATTTTTAAAATAAGCCCCGAAAATTTTGCAATGGTGAAGTATAGGAAGATTTTTGGGGGGTCAAGGGTCGGGGAAAGGTCCATTTGCATCCTTTTTTTAGGTAAATTAGTTAGACTAAACTAAAAATTGTCAAATGAAATCTATAAAAAATGCCTCAATGTTTATCGATCTGCAGAAAATTTGTCAAAAGTAGCGTGTTTCGAGGGACATGCTGGATTTCACTTGTTTGCTCACGTTTACCTTTTTGCTGATTTACATTCTTCAAAAATCATAAATAAAGTCGGAGATTGGTTGCTATATAGCCAACGCCTATAGTTTTATTACCGTACAATGTATAGGTGTATGCAATAAATTAATATTGGGTTCTTTGTTTTGGGGTTGCTGTAAAATGGTGCTCCGAGATCGCCGCGCATTCTTTTGATATAAACAAATGAAAGTTGCTGAAGGACTGAGGTGATTGTAAAGTTTCTGACACTTCAATACACTTGATAGAGTTTGAATATACGTAGGCTTATCATACCTACATGTTCGAAAAACCGGGGCAGTGCGGATTGTACAAATCTTGGTTTGATTTTGAGGCTTGGTAATATTCAAATCACGAGAAAACGTGCAATATTTCGGCATTTTGAATAATTTAATGACAGTACAGCTAACATTAGATGCTTAATTGACGTATTAATTAAACATATAATAATTATGACATAACAATATAGTAGTCTCTTTCCCTCTTTTACGGAATTAGTGAAATGAATCGCAAATGAGTAATAAATGGACTGCCAGAGGTAATCAGAGGTGCGGTGGCGAGCGTATTCCTAACGCTTAGCACGATGAGCCACACCGTCTTATCGACTTTCTTTTCTCCCGGGATAAATATGTAAATCTTATCCTATATGAAAATGATGATTTTGGTCAAAAGAAGAGGAAAACTTAAGGCCCATCTAAAAAAGGCAAATAAAGACTAACAAACAATATATAATGGCGTTAACAGTCAATATGTTTTGTAATCAGATTCATAATTAAAGTATTTTTGATTTAAATGAGGTATGACAATGAAATTTTCATTTTGTTTTCAAATGCTAAACAGATAGAATGAGTTATAAGAAATATGGTGTTTATATTTGCTGCAATTTTGTTCTGCATACGTTCAGAATTACTCTCATAAACTTCAGTAATGGATTGCAAACTTACGGTATATTATATAATATCATACTATTTGAATCAACGTATTCGTTCTATATATTCTTTAGATGTGTGACGACCCTTGTTTTACCTGTTAAATGACGTCATGTGATATCGTTTCCATATTTGGTAGCCTAGCAGTTTAGACGCTGCGACACGGTCGATCGGTTCTCGGGGGCAGCGTGGTCTGTTGGTGTATGCTGTGTGTGACAGAGTGCAGTCGTCTGAGTGTTTCGGTTAGATTGGTGGGTTTTGAATGTTTGCGTGAATGCCTCTGGTCTTCAGGGATGTTTGTCTGTGTTGTGTGACTGTCGGATGTTTTGTGCTGGACAGTGGGCTGACGTAGGGACCATGTTATTGTTTTTACCAGTACAGTGCCATTACAGTTCATTTACCGTAGTGTTGTATTTTCAGTTTTATCGTGGAATTAGCTTTCATCAGTATTGTTCAAATGTTGTGCACCTATAGAATTGTTCATAGTCTTTTTAAATGCCTGTCATAAGTTACTTTCGGCCTGTTTTGCAAATCGCAGTAGCTAGTTCATTGTACCAGATTCTAGGAGTCATTTGGTTTTTTATTCAGAGTTGTCTTGGATTTCAGGGTTGGTCAGTGTTTTTGTTGTGTATGTGGTCTTTCTTGCATTTTACTGCCTGGTATCTGTTATTTCTATTTTATGCTTTTCGTTCCTTTGGGGAGTGTTTGGTTGTTGGATCGTTTACTGTTCGAGTTGTTAATAAATGACATAAAATAGCATAAAGACTTGGACTATTGAGAGAGAACTTGACGTCAGTTCATATTAGAAGATATTCTGAACCTGGATAACTATTTCATACATTGCCGGTACGCTACAATTTTTGGCGAGAGCACGCCAGGATATTTTCTATGAACTATGATTTTTTTTTCTCTTACTTGGACTAATGGATGATATGTCAAGGCTCTGGTCAACAACGTGCCTGTTTTGTTTTTGATTGATACCGGTGCGGGTGTCTGGCTCATTGACACCGCTGTTTACTCGACGTTGCAGGAAGATTCGAACATTTCGGTGCTGCATCCTGTTCCAGCGCCACTACGTACTGCCGGTTGCGAGTCATTTGTGTCTCATGGTGTACTTGATGTCAACCTGACGATTGAAAGCTGGTCTGTGGAGCATACAGTTGTGGTCGCCGATCCAGGGTCACGTGCGGGTGTCTCGCTCATAGACACCGCTGTTTACTTGACGTTGCGGGAAATTCGGTTCGGGTGTCTCGCTCATAGACACCGCTGTTTACTCGACGTTGCAGGAAATTCGGACATTTCAGGACTGTATTCTTTTCCAGTACCATTGCGTACTGCCAGTGGCGAGTCGTTAGTGTCTCATGGTGCACTTGATGTCAACCTGACGATTGAAAGCTGGCCTGTGGAGCATACCGTTGCCGTCGCCGATCTAGGGTCACGGATGGACTATCTTGGCAAATTCGTCGCGTCGTTTTGTTCTTGAGGGACAGGATGTTAAGGTACAGCACCAAACAGCTTCTCCCTGCTGTCATGGAACTATAGTTGAAGATGTGGTTATACCGGCCGCTCGGGACTGGTTGTTCTAGTTCAGCTACAACAGCCTTGGCCGTCCGGAGATCTAACATAGTAGCCGTTGTTGAGCCATTGGAGATATGCAACATCAATTTGGTCGCTTCGATGACGTTTGTGGACTCAATTCAGAATGACAAACTTTACGGATGCTTAAGCGTGAGGGTAGACGGCCTGCATATTTTAAAGACATTCGTGGACATATTTTGGTTTTGACTACTGCTTTTCGTGTTTCAAATATATTTTTTTAGAGATGAAAACATTCTTTCATAATGTTCCATCTAGAAGAGGGGGGTAATGTGACGACCCTTGTTTTACCTGTTAAATGACGTCATGTGATATCGTTTCCATATTTGGTAGCCTAGCAGTTTAGACGCTGCGACACAGTCGATCGGTTCTCGGGGGCAGCGTGGTCTGTTGGTGTATGCTGTGTGTGACAGAGTGCAGTCGTCTGAGTGTTTCGGTTAGATTGGTGGGTTTTGAATGTTTGCGTGAATGCCTCTGGTCTTCAGGGATGTTTGTCTGTGTTGTGTGACTGTCGGATGTTTTGTGCTGGACAGTGGGCTGACGTAGGGACCATGTTATTGTTTTTACCAGTACAGTGCCATTACAGTTCATTTACCGTAGTGTTGTATTTTCAGTTTTATCGTGGAATTAGCTTTCATCAGTATTGTTCAAATGTTGTGCACCTATAGAATTGTTCATAGTCTTTTTAAATGCCTGTCATAAGTTACTTTCGGCCTGTTTTGCAAATCGCAGTAGCTAGTTCATTGTACCAGATTCTAGGAGTCATTTGGTTTTTTATTCAGAGTTGTCTTGGATTTCAGGGTTGGTCAGTGTTTTTGTTGTGTATGTGGTCTTTCTTGCATTTTACTGCCTGGTATCTGTTATTTCTATTTTATGCTTTTCGTTCCTTTGGGGAGTGTTTGGTTGTTTTGGATCGTTTACTGTTCGAGTTGTTAATAAATGACATAAAATAGCATAAAGACTTGGACTATTGAGAGAGAACTTGACGTCAGATCATATTAGAAGATATTCTGAACCTGGATAACTATTTCATACATTGCCGGTACGCTACAGATGTTTATAATTCACGTATAATTCAAACAATGCGTTATTAAACCATTCACTTAAGTAGGCCTATCAGGAATTACTATAGCTCCGTGAAGTGATGGATATGAAGAGAACCCCATACCTTTGACCTGTAATTCAACAAGTTCATTTCAACCATTGAGTATATGTAATATATTCTCATTGTTCCAACTGTAGCGTATCGACAGTCTATGAAATAATTATCCAAGTTCAGAATATCTTTCAATATGATCTGACGTCAAGTTTCCTCTCATTATTCACTTCAATTTATACTATTTTATTTATTAATTAACAATCTCAACACAACCAAATACTCCAAACAAACAGACAAGCATACAATAAAGCGACAAGTACCAGGCAGCACAATGCAGGAAAAGAGAATATACACAACAAAAACAAACACTTTGAACAGTACTGATGATACCTAATTCCCCGACAACAACCAAAAATACATCGCTAAAATAACTGCAATGACACTGTACTGAAACAATAATATTAGCCTACTCTCTAGCATAAAAACATTCAACAAATCCTCATCCCGCAGTCACAAAACCACAAACAAACATACCTGATAACCCATCGGAGATCAGAGGCACTCCCACAGACACTCATGACCAGAATCCAACCGAAAACCAACCACAGCACACGCTAACAGCCACACCTAGAAGAACAGATCGACAGTGTCACAACGCCCCCAGTGTTTTCAGTGCCAAAATACCAAATATGGAAACAATATCACATAACATCATTTACTTTTAACAGATAAAACAAGGGTCGCCACACAACGATATACCGAGAACTGATTTTGGCCAGAACGCCCTACCATTTTCAATAGCGCATTTTAATTACTGCAGTGAAACTGGAAAGAAAAATAGCCTCTGAGTTCAATGATTCACGTCTAAAGCACAGAAATATAGAAAAAATCTCTCAAATAAGATGGAAAACTACAAAACAATATGGTTCTGTGCAGGCTATAAAAGCTCGTACTTGTGAAGCAATGGCTGAGCAAGTGTCAAAACTTAGTTACGTCTGTTAACTTATCTGACTATCTTATTTAATTCTATATTACATCAGTGATAAACAAGAAAGTGGGGGTCGTCGGAGTGACATCTAAATCTCTATTACCTCGGTTTTTGTTATATCATTCAATTCTACTATCATGATGATTGCGGAGTCGAAATACAATTACGGAACGTCCCTTACGTCATTACCCATAATGCTCATTACCTTTGAGCAAAATCTTCGGGTCGTGTTCCTTTTCAGATTCAGCTGGCCTGTTGGACAGGCAGAGCGTGCTTACGTATTAATTGGTGAAATAGATATATATTGCAGTTACAGGCGAAAAGGTGGTCAAGTTTATCAATCTCGTAGATTTGCGTTTGTTGTTGTGTATTTGTCATTTTTGGGAGAGAATCGAAGTGTTATATCAGAATGAAATTTGGGACTTGGTGCCATGAATATGGCGGTATTTTGCATTAATAATGGTGGAAAAACATCATAATCAATTCTATTTTTGACGAAACTTGCTCATTTGTTCATTTTTATTTGTAAATTCACAACCATTACAAAATTACTCGGCCACACCCATTTTTTATGCTTGAAAAGTTGAACATAAAATGTAAAAATAAAGACATTTTTCTGTGTAATATGTTGATGGAAGTGGTCAAACAATGTTGAGGAACGATCTCAGTTGAAATCAACGGAAAACTAACTCGGATTTTTCTCTAATTTATGTGAGGTGTTCAATACAAACCAAACTTGATTTTTGCTACTTGATTGAAATTATTTTCAAAAATTAGCTGAAAAATGAATTGCAGATGTTGCAAACATGCTGCAAAATTGCATTTGCTGCAATTGCCTGCAGCATATTGGATAATACAGTTGAGAGTTTTTCTATTTAATTTCAGTATATATAGATAACAGACAACTTAATCTTTCCTGCATTCTAATCTTTTCAGAAAATTGGAAGTGGAAATAAAAACTATGTAAAAAGAATTCCAAAACTGACTTAGATTTTGGACTTGGCTTAAGATCTTCATCGATAGATTTATTTTATGTCACAGACTCTTGAATAGTTTGATAGTCGCAGCATCTATACTCAATGTCAGATTTCAGCTCATCTTCCGCAAGCGGGTAATACTTCTGAATAATCTCAGAATCTACCGTTTTGAAGTAAAAAATACAACAAGAAGAATGAAATGCAGCATTTCTGTACTTTGATAGAAACAGACTAGCTGTTCAATATACTATACTACCCACATCAACACAATCTACAGCATAATAACTTCTATACTGTCACTCATACTTCATTCATTTCGTAGACATGAAACTATTACTAATTATATTCTATTTAAACTGAATATTTAGTCAGTCATTTTTTAAGTTGATGAAAATTCTACTGTAAAAATGGTAGTGCAATCAACTCCAAATCTAACTCAAAAAGATTTTATCAGATACAAACATAAGATATCATATGTTAAAGTGTTTTTACACATGCCAGTATATAATCCACTACAAATATTTAATTTGGAACTCATACTCTGTCATATTTTAGCTCCAGCTCGTCTGATGATGATGAAGATAATGTTGGAGATACATCAGGATCAGATGATAGTAGTAGTGATGATAGTGATGGAAAGGTATCATTGCATAGTTATTGGGAGATATGACTGATACATAGCCTATATATAGATACATATCATACAATAATATACCGAATAAAGATGTATCAGGATGTCCATAACAAACTGAGAATATTGGAATTAATATAAAGTTGGTTATATTTGTTATAGTATTTTTTGATTTTGAGAATAATTTAGACTTTCAAGTAATAAATAGTCATTTAAAGTATTTGTCGTCTGATGATCAGAAAAAATAAGACTTCACATTACTTAAAAGAAAAATTTAACTTAACTATTGTATGCATGTACATGAGCATAGGAGCAGGAGCATAGGAACACGATATATATTCTCAATTACCAATTTTTGGTTATTGATTTACAATAATTTATTTCAATTTCTCTGTTGACAGTGAACGAATATGGAATACATGTAATATTTCATATGTGAAAATATTATTTCAGACTATTGAATTATACAATTCGACTATATTCCATAATAATTTTACCCAAGTGCAGTGTCACATTATTATTTGAAAGTACTCCATTCCAAATTTTCCTGTTCCACTCATTAAACATGGCTATTCATGAACATGCTTACATGGAGTCATCTCAATATAGTTTTATTTGGGAATGTTTTTTTTCAATTGGGACACACATATCAGCATGTTATTTAAATCTCTTGAATTCCTAAACATAACCATTTCTATATATAATCTTGAATAAAATGTATTTATATTCATGGTTTTGGGTGTTTGAGATATAGGAAGTATCATGTGTTAATTGATTTTGCTACTTTTTTATTCAGATGGATGAAGATTCAAAACAAGATTTGCAACAATCATGGATGTTGCCAAAGAGATCAATAACTGAGAAGAATATTGAAGAAGAGAATGCCAACTCTCAAAATACATCAAATGACATTAGCAAAAATGCCACCAACACATCAGGATCTGAAGACGTGTCTGTTGATGATAGTACGAATTTTTGTGTTATCAGCATTTGCCAAACCTAATATTTTAATTTTTCAGTGTGGCATATCATTTTTATTGAAAAATTAAAAAAGGTATGATTCTTAGAAACTAGGTTTTTTCAAAATGTCAGTGTGATAAGATTCAAGTATTTGATTTGTAAAAACATTTTAAGAATAACTTTATCTCTTTCCATGAAATATCAGACATATTTATGATCATAGTCTAACTCTTTCAGCAAAACAAAACAGATATAGTTTAATGAAACTGAAACGCTGGAAATAGATTAGCGGTATATTATTTTTATTTCACTTTAATATATCTCTGTCAATCTTTTTTGTGGCCGCGTATGAAACCAAAGTTTAAAATAGAGGAGAGAGGACCTGAAGTTTATTACTCAATATCCTTTTACCCTCGGAATAATGTTATTTATACATACTTGAACTTAAAATCTAAATGGATTGGAAAAGAAAATTTCACAGTGTCGATTTCTTCTAGTTGGGAAATCTATATAGCTGTAAGGAAATGTATACTCACTAACATATTATGTGCAATATTTTATAGACAAATCTTCATCCAATTCTGGGTCTGAAGATGAAAGCAAAGGCGGTTTTCCACGGAAACACATCAAAGAAGATCTGAGAACGGTGAGAATGTATAGCTTAATTAGGGACCGTGAGGGAAGCCAATCGAACAAAGTTTCATTATTGAAAAGGAAACTTTATCAAATCGTTTTGAATTAATCTCATACTTTGTGACACAGTAAAAAATAGTAGCAAAATCACACCATTGCGATGTTATGATTTTAATATTGTTCAGGATAAATATTCTATGCTTTTCATGTGGCAAGTGGCAATATTTTAAATTTTAGCCATCATGGCATTGGAAAGCATTACTTCATAACTATATGATAAAAATTTGATTTCAGTTATGGGAGTCTAATCCACAAATCTATGGAGTGAGACGATCATCTCGTGCTAGAAAAGAACCCCAGAGGCTGACAGTGCTTCAGGTAATTGGAAATTAGTATTAAGTGAATTACAGTATTATGAAACCTGCGATCATAATTTTTGACGCCTGAGCTTAATGAAGTAAACAACTTGTCAATATACCTTTTAAGGTAAGGCCTGAAAGTTTGGCGCATCGTGCTAAGTATTAAGACTATGCTTGCCCTGGTAACACTGATTATCTTGTGCGGGCTCGAATCATCTGGGGGGTTAAATATGTGCGTGGAGATTGCTGGACTTCTCGTTCATCTAAACATCCAAAACAAATATTTGACATGGACTGGTAATTGGGACGAGAGGCCGTGGTACGCCATATGAATAAATCATCTTTTCGACTTTCCTCTCTCCTGGAATAAATATGAAAACCCTGTTCTAATTATGGAGAACCTTATCAAAGTCTACACTAATTAATGTCTCCGCTTAATTGATGCCGCTTTACTAACACCTTGACTTTTTAAATTTTTCAATTATAGTTTTATGAACCTTTCTTGGGCCATAATGAATCGGAAATCTTTAACATAATGTTATAGCCTACTAGCTTTATTAAAACGAAGATTTGAAACACTTCATTGTTAATATTTATTTAGGAATCTGATGATTCTGATGGTAATAGAAAAAGAAAAAAAGAAAATAAAAAGGGAACAAAACATGGGTAAGAAAATAAGTATGACAATTAATAAATTTATCTCGCCTGACTAATGAGGGCTGTAGAGGCCGAGATAATTTACACGAAACTTTGAAACCTGCCCATTTAAAAAACAACTCTGACTCTGGACTCCTGGTCGACAAATATTAACTCTGGCTATTGACTTCCGCGAAAATCCAATTTTGATATTGAAAATTTTGTGGGAGTGTGCAAGACTTATTTAGCTAATTATTATCTGTTGAGAATGTTCAGTCAAAACAGTACTTTCGTAGTTTTCTTCAGGAATTTTGATTTCGGTTACTGAGTCTGAAGTATTCAAAATTTCGTTTATGACGACACGACTTCGGTATCTGAAGAGTTGGACAATTCGACTAAATAAAAATATTCTAAACTTATTAACAACCCTGGTTAAAGAGCAATGATTTAGATCAATGGTTCACAACCTTTTTATCAAGCGACCCAAATTATGAGAAAAATGAATTTCAGAAAATCTGGCAACCCAGGATATGCGCAAATACTAAATGGAATGTAGGGCTTCTTTGGGTACAAAATTAAATTACTAATACAAAAAACATAACATTTATTCCAGGTTTTCAGCGTTATTATTTGTTTGCCATCAGCGATTTTTTAAAAACACAATTTTGAATCCCACATATACAATTATTATTGAGCTACACTTCAATACCAAATAAAAATTAAACAGTAAAATTCTTTAATAAATAAAATCAATACCTTTTGGGTTTTTGTTGAAAAAACACAGACCCAAAACAATTTTCAGGTCGCTATCCATATGTTGGAAACACTGATTCAGATTGAAAATTATTTTTTAAGGCTGGAAATTTTTGATCATACTAAGCCAGTACAAACTTTAACATATCCTTCTTGAGAGTTGAGATGTTGAACCTCAATGTCAATTATAACTGTGTTTTTATTTTGAATATTTTAATTTGAATCAGTATAAAATCCTAATTCTTGTCACAACTACGCTCTGAATAAGGCTCTGTAACGGCAGCCGCTAGTGTACAAGAAGCTATTATTTTCAAACGATCAGGGTTTTTTGATTCGGCATTGCTTACCCAGTTCAATTACTTCCTGGGTGACAGGTGGTAGGCATGGGGTTTGAACCTGACTCAGCGCAGATTAAACTATTGTGAAATTGCGTAATGAGTTCTTTTTCTGTTTTATATCAAATTCATATATAGAGCAAGTGATTATACTGCTACTCTGACGGAATCTGAGAGTGAAGAAAGTACGAGTGGATTCGATTCTCCTCCTGCACATCATCGAAGAAACAAGTCTAAAAATGGACAGAGTGGCCGACAAAAATCTTCCAATCGCCCATCACGATTATCACAGATGAGAGCAAAACTTGAAGGACGAAAAAAAGGTTTTATTTGAGTTTCATTTTGCGCAATTTTATCTTCAATCTTCAACTTCTAGTCCTTTTGGGTCCTTTATGTCAACAGGCAGTATGGATGGAGTTAGATGTGTATTTGAAAAAAAAATGTTTTTACACCAAGACTAATGATGTAATAACAATTCCAAGTAAAAAATGTTTTATAATGAATTGATTAATTATCGCTGTCTGGTTTCAAATAGCTAGTCAAACATGCTTGCCATTGTACATCTGATTGGCCTGCGCTGTTTCGAAAGTTTGAATCCCATGGTGACTGAGGATTGCTCCTAGACAACGTAGAAGGATGTAACAATTGGTCAGATACAGCTTACACCACTATTATGTCCATGCATTCGTAATGAATAAGTGTTTACCTATTTTAATACCAGACATGGACTTGTGAGTGGCCATGTTGTGCCTGTTAATTTAAGATTTCCTCTGCCCAGGATGAATGGGAAAATCCTGTCCTTGATTCGAATTAGTTTATGAGGCAACATTATTTATAATTATTTTACTACTCTTGTCATGTAGCTGTAACAATTTTTTGCAGGAAATTCCAAACGAAATAAAGGTCGAAGGCAATGTGATATGTCTGAAGAATCAACGTCCGATGATGAGGAGAGGCCCCAGCGTTCATCTACGAGAATTCAAAAAGCTAAGATAAGGTAATGTTTTTATTCAACAGAACTTTTTATATTGAATTCACGCTACTCCCGAAGTGTGTACCAGGTAAGGGTTGGACCATAATTTTATTCCGTTTTCCTTATTTTATTACTAATACTAGTTCGAGGACTGTCTGTGTTAGCCAAGTGAATATACATAACCTTGTTCATAGGCTTCAGTCCCATTACACAACTTGATGTAAATTAAGCGAACAAAATTAGATCATATCTCCATATTGGTACACATACAGAATTCACTACCTTGTAGCTGTTGTTTGATCATATTGACTTTGACCTGAAATTACTTCAAGTCTGTGTCAATCTGCTTTTACTGGAATGTAATGCATTCTTCAGGATTTATTTTCACATTAAAAGACGAAGTACAAGGCTTAATACTTGGATCTAAAGATTGAAATTTTCAATTACCGTATTTCTCCGCGTATAATACGCACTTTCAGTGCCGGAATTCAAGTTCAGAATAAGGGGGGTGCGTATTGTGCTTTGACATAGAAAATATCAAAAAATATTAATCTAATTTTATGCTTAATTAACTGGCTAATAATTCTCACATACTGGGTTATTAATCTTAAGTGTTTTAATTTCATTTTACAAAGTCTGTTAGGATCATATCATGCTTGTTTCGGTAGAAACATGCCCAATCCAACGGAATTTAGAGTTAGTAAAAGCAGCAAGAATTTTAATCAATCCATTAACTCAAGCGTCCGAGAAAACGGTGAATCAAAAGTGATAAGAATGGCTGTACATCGCTAACTGCTGTCATTGTTTTGTCGTTTCTCGCCGAATCGGCAAAACTTCAGGGTCATGAATCACTACTATATGTCACTCAAATTAGTCACTCGCCTGCGGCCTCTCTTCGAAGTGCCGTGTCTGAAAACACCACTGATGTCGGGCCTTGTCAGCTTTTTAAAAAGATTAGAGACTAATAACAGCATGATATTTTGATGTCAAATAACATCACATCATGATTGGCAGACCGTTACATCGTAAGGACATGAAACAAAATATTAATTAGGAGATATAGTTAACAGAATGCCTGAAACGCTTACGCAAAAAAACACCAACAACGCAAGAGAGGAACAGAAACCTCACATGCGTATTATGCAAGAAGATTGATAAATTCTTGCCACAGATGTGCCAAAATGCACATGCGTATTATCTATGGGTGTGTACTATGCAAGGAGAAATGCGGTATTACTAACTTTCATACTTCCGAACATGTTAAACATTTGTAACACAAGTCTTCCATACTCTAGTTGAATCTTGCCATGGCTGAACATTGACTGAACATGTTACAATTCAGTGACATGGGTTTTATTCTGTAATGATACAAATCTACATGTATGTAAACCATTTCTACCATTTGTAGTTATAAAGAGGAATCTCAAGATGAAACGGACAGTGATGACGTTGTTGAAGTAGTTGAAAAAGAAGACGAATACTTGAATAGTGAATGTATAGAAAGGATTATTGATTGCAGGGTTAGATTCTGTGTTTTTAGAATTCTTTGCAATTTGCATCATTTGAACTTCATAATGAATTGTATAGTGAGAAATGTAATATGAAAACACTCATAATTACAGTAATTCAGAGGTTCCCTAACTATTCAAACTCACACTCATTCATTTTCTGTTATGTAAATCTCATCCCCTTTAGTAAAAGAAAATTTATTAACATTAAATTAAGTTAAGAAAAGTTGTAAATGCTCATTTAATCAATGTGATACGAAGGCTTATTTTCGTGGACGTAATGATTATGAGAACTCTGAATATTCAATAATAGTCAGCAGTGGCGCAACCAGGCCGTTTTCAACGGGGGGGTCCGACCGGAATTTACACAGTGCAACCACGACGTAAGTCGCAACGCCACTAGGTGTCGCCCCGCTGACCACGATAAATTGCTCATGGTTAAAAGGGAAACGCCATCGATTAAATCCCAGCCTTTCGCTTACCTTGCACTCGTTCATTAACGGCGCTTCGCTATGTCTTGCACCTCGTGGGTAGCAAAACGCCGTTCATTACTTACATTCCAGCGAATTGCTAACGAAAAGCTGTTAATTATTTTCAACGTTTCCCTCGTTTTGCGCCTCGTGGATAGTGAAAAACGGCTTGAATAAATTCCAATGTTTCCCTCGTGCCGCGCCTTGCTCGTTGGGTGAATTCGTCAAGCCTAAAAACAAAATGCACTTCTTGCGAATGGACCTTTTCCCGACCCTAACCCCGGAAAAAATTCTAAACTAAACTGAAGCTCACCGGAAGACATAATGACAATTGAAATAATTGATTTACAACTAATTTTTGGAAACACAACTAAAAACTGACTAATTTAATGCAGGGATGTCCAAATCGAATTTAAATTTAAATATCGCAAACTTCAAATACTGTTTTTTCGTGTTTATAATAATCACGAATATGGCGCACATATCCTAGCGTCGTCGTCCATGTGTGGTTCGGCAATATATTACAGCTGACATGAAAGAATTTCGATAAACGCCGACTTGAAGAACTTATAAGACTTCGAGGACGTTTTTGATTGAAAATATTTTCTTATCGGGTATTTTAACTTAGTCGAGATGGTTTAGGCGTCCTCGGCAAATTGTGTCTTAATTAGTTGTTTTCATCCTCAGTTTCGATAGTGACCGAACATAACAGGAAATTTTTTCATTTCTTCTAATTTAGCGCGTATAAAATAGCTCTTAAATAGTATTTAATATCTATCGCGGATTTCGTCGGCATCCGGCATTGATGACAACATCAGTTCAATTAAAGTTAGCGGTATTCATTTACAAACAAAAATACATAACAGCCGACATGAAATATTCAAATCAGCGCAGAGTTCAATAATAAAACACGTTTTATGATCTCAATATGCACATAGAAAGAAGAAAGGACAGAGAAATAACGACTAAAAACTAAGAACGGTATGGTATG